TATAAAGAGGGTGGGGACAGGGTACAGACCAGGCGGCTCACTGGAGGCTAGGAGGCTTTGGGAGTGGGATTTGAGCCGGACCCCCGGGCTGTAAAGGCCCCAGCCAGCCCCGGGGTGAAGGGAGTGGCACAGCTCTGGGAGACATGGGGACAGAACAGACGGCAGGCGTACTGTCCCATGGAGGGCCAGGCCAGTGACCTCAGGCACAGGGAGAAATGCAGGAGTTTGAGGATTCACGTGAAGAGGCCGTGTGGCCTCTGCAGACCTCCAACCCACCTTCCCCGGATTCTGACCGAGCCCAGGGGGAGGGGAGATCTCCTGAGAGCAGAATGCAAGGACCCGCGTCCTGAGCTGCCCTGAGCTGCCCCCTGCGGCGGGAGTTAAGGGGCACTGAGCTACTGCCCTGTGTGGCCACGTCTGGTCATCCTCCTTCCTTTCAGGGGGAGTCGGAAAACCTTTTAGATCTGCAAGAATACCTTATCTAGATGCAGATAATCCTGGGAACCCTAAGCCGGTGTCTCTCTATCTTGGCTGCGCCTAAAAATGGACTGGACGTTCTCATTCTTAAAGTCTGGAGTGGGGCGTGAGTATCGGGACCTAGGAAACACCTTCCCGGGAATTCTGGTGTCTCCCACCCCCCAGCCCCAGGCTGCGGAATCATCCATCCAAGCCTGAGAGCGCCGAATGGGGAGCCGGGAAACCCAGTTCTGAGGCCTGCTCCACCACTTTCCCCAGCCTTAGGCAAATCTCCTAGCCTGCTGGCGACCATTTCCTCACGTGTAACTTTGGGCAAAACCCCCTTCACTGTGACGATATGAGGAGACCAAGATTCAGGGCAGTTCAGGGCAAGGAAGCCTCATGGCCCGGTGGCGTGGCAGCTGGGGAGGGACGTTACCCAGAACCCCCACTGCAGTGACCCCACTTCCGTCCTCCCTCTCCTCTGGGGCTGCCAAGAGGACCCTGGAAAGGGCGATGCAGATCTGAGAGCAGAGGGTGCAGAAGGGACATGCGGGGAGACCCAGAGAAGAAGGAGAGGTGGGGGGTGCCCGTGACCGGGGGCTCTGGTTCCCCTAAGGTCCAAGACGTTGGGAAATCATCTCTCCTGTTGTTACCAGAAAGGTGATGAATAATTGAAGGCAGTGAGGAGGCCAGATGGTGGGGGCGGGGAAGCAGGTACTGTGCTTTGTGCACTCTAGGGGGGCAGGGTTAGGAGAGGAGCCGGGTGGCCTCCCCACCCAACTTCTTTCCCTAGGACCTGGCTTTGGCCTACAGTGATTTGCTTGTCAAACCAAGTTGCAGGCCCTCTGGATCAGTTCTGAGAACCCATGGGGATGGTGGCTTTGGGCAGTGCCGGGAAGCACAGGCTGGGTGGCGGCAGGCTGTCTCGGAGACATCTGGAATCCTTGGTCCAGCCTGGCCCTTGGAGAATTCCCACGGAAACCCCTCATCTTATAGGCAGGGGGCCCAGAGAAGAGAAGGCACCTGCCCAAAGCCACACAGGTGACCTGGAGCCCAGCTCTCAGGGGGCTCCCTCCGTCCATGGCCCTTTACACTGTACCACCCTGAAAGGCTGGGCAAGGTTCCATCCCTGGACTAGGGCTTGAGCAAGGTCACCCCCTTCCTCTGCCCCCTGCCCAGCACTGCCAGCCCAGCAGAGGTCCAGAGGGTCTGGGAGGTAGAGAGCAGAGGGTTACAAACTGCCCAGGTTCAGGGGCCAGCCCTGCCACTTACTAGCACCATGACCTTAGCCAAGTTATTTAACATGTCTGGGCCTTAATTTTCTCTTGCTTCTAGGGATGATTTTAGTATCCTGTGGTACTTATGAGAATTAATGAGCTATACTTAAATGGGAAGAATTTCTCCTATAATGAGTGCTCGATAAATGTTCACTATTAATAAGATTGCTCTCCTCCCTCCCCCCTCCCCAATCCCCAGGTCTTCCTGACCACCCTCGCTCTGGGATTTGGGAGATTTGGGCTCCTCACACAGAGGACTTGGCCTTGAGATAAGGAGAGGGGAGCAAAGTGCTGGCCTGGCTACTTAGGACAGCAGTAGCTGAAACCAGGCCAGGTCTGGAAGGAAGGGGGTGAGCGATGGGCCAGGGGACTAATAAAGATGGAGCTAGTTCTTTTCGAAGCTTTTTGCCCATGTGCCAAAGTAAACCTTGTCCAGGCCTGGGACTGCTAAGCCTCCGGCCTCTGGCACTGGAGGCCAGGCTGGGGGAGACATGGGAAGGGAGGAAGGCCACACACTTCCGCATGAGATAGGATGTGCAGCTGAGGAGGGCCTGAGAATCCTGACTCGCCAGCCAGCATTGCCACCATCTCTCCCTGCCCCTCGTTGGCCCAAAAAGCAAGGCTGACGTTTGTCTCTCCTGCACAGGAAGAACAGAGGCAACAACCCCTACAGGCTGCAGTTTACGGAGCATTGGACAGTCCTTCCCATATTCCAGATCTCTCCCCTGGCCTGTTCCAGAACAGAGTAGGGGGACGGAAACCAGGAATGGTCCAGTCTGGGCCCCTCACCACTGTGTCACAGATAAGCCAGGGCCAATGATGACAGGACTAGTAGTGAGCACTGTTTCTCGAGCGCTCTGCAAAGGTTTTGTGCGAATTCGTTTATTTCGTGTTCACAATAACCTTGTGAGGCAGTGCTTCTATTATCCCCACTTTCCAGAGGTGGGAAATAAGGCTCACAGAGGTAAGGTCGCTGTCCATGACCACACAGCTAGCAAGGGTAGCCCTGGGATTTCCGCCCAGGCAGTCTGGCTCAGACAGCCCACTTCTTCCCACTGCCCTGATCACCTCCCTGTGCTCTGCCGTGAAACTCGTGCCCGAGGAGGAGTCCCCTGCTGCCCCCTGCCCCAGCCAGCCGGGTGCCCCCACTCTGTGTTCCTTTGTATCCCTCAGATTTCAAGTTCCGTTCTTTCCAGTGCAGATACTTTGGTCTCCAGAAAGCTCTCTACCCCTGTTCTTCACACCCAAGAGCTAGAAAGAAGGAAGGAGGAAAGCGCTCCAGAAAGGAGGGTCCAGGCACAGTTTAGGGCTGAGGACAAAAGGCAGGGTGATGCTCTGGGTTTCCACAACAGCCTCCCTCATCCCACCTCTGCCTGCTGCTGAGCACGCTGGGGGTGCTGAGGTGGGGGCGAGGCTCTCTTTTCTCTTGTCCCTCCTCACCTCCTTCCCTCATCCATGTCCCTCACCTGCCTCACCTTCTGGCACGCTGCACCTGCCTGGCCCTGACCATGGGTTACACCCCTCTCCGAGCTTAGAGGCTTACACCTTATTTCTGGAGACCCTCCCGGGCAGAATGGCTGCCTGGGCCACGCCTCTCCCAACAGCAATCCTCTCCCCAAATCCCAAAGGCTGGGAACACCCTGAGGAGGACCTGGCAAGAGTAGCTCTGCCACGAATTCTTGTCGGATGAATACATGAGCAAACAAAAGCACAAACTAGTGATCCACCCTGCACGCTAGCCATGACTGTTCGTTTGCACGTTCCCAAAACGCCACGCTTTGTCCCCCCCTCTGGGTCTTGGCCAACATGGTTCCCTCTGTCCATGCTTCCCACCACACTGTGCCAATGCCACCTCCTCACATCTCACCCGGAGGTGACTTCCTCGCAGAAGCCTTCTCTGACCACTTGAGGTGGGCCCGCCCCATGGCCCCCTTTCCCCGGGCTATCAAATTGTGCTGGAGTTGTGTGGTGGCATATGCCTGGCATGCCTACGTGTCTCCCCGGTGAGGCTGGGAGGCTCCTACGGATGGGAACCAGGTCTGCCAGGCTCCCAGAGGCTGGCAGGATGCCTGGCACATGGTAGGGACTCAGCCCTTCTTTGTGAAAGGAAGGAAGGAGGAGGGAGGGAGGAAAGGGAGGTGCTTTTGGAAGGAGAGAGAATGAGTGTGTGGGAGCTGAGTGGAAAAGAGCAGCATCCAGGACTCAAACCTCCTTAGAGCCAGATGGAATCTAGAGCTCTTCCCAGCCCGGGACCACCCCCTTCCCTCATCATGCACGGTATTACCCAAATAACAAGTCACATATCCCTGTGGCTGGGCTGCAGGTCACCAAGTGCTTTCACATCCCTGGCCTGGCTCCAGTCCCCCAGACAGCCCTGACCGGGGCTTCCCAGCTCCTCCCCTCAGTTTAAAGATGAGAATCCAACAAAGGGTGCTGGGCAGCTGGATAGCCACGTGCTGAAAGATGAACTTAGACCCTTACCTCACCTCCTGTGCTAACTTTAAGTGCATCCTAGACTTTAGTGTCAGAGCTAAAACGATATGACTTTTCAGAAGAAAACATAGGAGAACATCTGTAAGCCTTTGGCGTAGGCAAAGATTTCATAGACACCACACCAAAAAAGCCTGGTCCATAAAAGAAAATTTGTTGAATTGGACTTTGTCAGAATCCCAAACTGTGGTGCTTCCAAGATACCATGAAGAAAACGAAAAGAGAAGCAGCAGACTGAGAAAAACCATTTGCAAGACACACGTGTGATAAAGGCCAAGTATCCTGAGCATAAAGACGAGGAAAGGCGCCCTGAGAGATGACGCCGCCCGTGAACACGGCCTGGGTCCCTAGGTCCTGTGGTCTCTTCACTGCCTTTGTTCTTTTGCAGGGGGCCGCGTAGCGGAGCCGAGACCGCAGGTCTGACTCGGCCCCGCCCTGGAGAACTGACTCAGGTAAGGACCGGCCCTCCGAGGCCTTCAGATCGCGCCTGCGCCTCCCGGCCCTTCCCCAGCGGCTTCCTCAGCGCGGGCTCCCCCGGGTGGCCACTAGCAGAACTGCAGCTTCCTGCCGCGGCTGCCCGATACTCGCTACTCAGCTCCCTGGCAGAAGGCTTGCGGTGTAAAGGTATTGTGGTTGGTGTAAACCGTTTTAAGTTTATGTTCAGCCAAGCATGCTTGTGTCAATGAGTTAAGCAGTGACCTTGGGTAATAAAACCGTGGGCACCCTAGGGCAGAAAGAGAAGGGAGCAGAAAAAGATAGGCAGGAGGCTCCCTGCTCTGGTTAGATGCTAACCCGGCTGGAAGGAGTGTGGGTTCTGGTGTTTTCCTATTTCTGTGAGTTAGCACAGGGAGCCCCAGACCCCCAGGCCACTTCCCGTGTCCGGCACACCAGCCCCTTCACCTTTATTCCCTCCTACATCCCCCTCCGCCCAGCTTTCCAACTGCGGCCAGCATCCCACTGTGCCGCCTGGAGCCCTGCGTCCACTTTTCATCTGACGAGTGTCTATGGGACACTTCTGTGTTCCAGGCATTGCTCTCCATGACTGACGAATCTTAACCCACCTATCCCTCTTGACAGCACTGTGAAGTGGGTACTAGTTACTAACACCACCCCCCTTTTACAGATGAGCAAATGAGGCAGGGAGACCATAAGTAGCTTGCTCGAGCTGGCTAGTGAGTGTTGGAACTGAGATTCGGTGCCACAGAGCCCACGATGCCCAGAAACACCCCCAGCTCCTGCAGCGCCTCACCTGCCCACTGGGACTTGAAACCAGAGTCTCCCCAGGACAGGACTTCTCCTTGCTCCTCTTTGCAACTTCCAGACTCTTCCTTCCTCCCTGCTGAAGGCTCCATCTTGGACCCAAGGTGTCAGCCTAGATATCTCGCTCCCCATCTTTGGTACAAGCACCAACTACCCTGCACCCTCACCCCCCTCCCCAGGTCACTTCCCTCCTTCCTGGAAGAGTTCACTTCCTGCCTCACTGTCACACCAGTGCTGTTCCAGTCTTCATTCTTACTGATTTCCTCAAAGGACACTCCAGCCTCTCAGTTCCTTGACACCACTCCCCGGCTCACATCATGGTCATGCCCTAGATCTTCTCACTACCCATAACTAATCCCTTCTCAGTCTGTGTCACACAGCTCATTTTCCTCTCTGTCAGCTCACAGCCTGGGGTACTCGACAGTTCTCCCTCCCTGGACCTCTGGCACCTGTCCCCATCCCTTGCCCATCTCGCGTCTCCTTTCTCTTCCTTACTCGGCCGGTCATTAACACTACTCTCTCATATACAGTTCCAACGCTCTAATTCTCATACTTGGGAAAACCTCTAGCCTGGTTAGGTCGAGCTGTACGCCTCTTGCCCACCTGCATCCACACAGATGAGTACAGCTGGGGGAAGGCCAGTGATTCCGGCTGCTCTTGTTGTCCGTTCAACACCATGAACCTCAGGGGACCCTTAGTGCTGCCCGGCCGTCCTCCACATTCCCATCATGCATTCACTCCATCACTCCTCTAGGTTTCTATTTCTGCCTTTTTTCCCGTCCTCAGACCTCCCACATCTGCCCACCACCACCGGCATTGCACAGTCACCTTGAGACCTTGTTCCCTCTGAGGCTGAGAAATAGAAGCCGTGGGAGGGCGCGCCCACCACCTCCACCAGCGCCCCTTCCTCCCTCCTGCTGCTGTGGGTCAGTATCCAGCTCTGGGCCAAGGCCAACTTCACTTGTGCACCAGTTCCCAGCCCTTCCCACGTCCTCACATTGCTCCAGTGATGCCCTGTCTCTCCCACATCACCAGCTTTTAATTTTCTACTGGACCATTACCACTGGCATACCACGTTCTGCTACTTCTCCCATCCTAACCACTTCCAAACTCTGGTTCCTTTCCAAAGGAATCGTTCATGCCCACTGGCTCCAAATCCGCCAGCATCCTTCTTTCTCGCACCTGTTCCAGTCTGGCCACTCACTAAACCTCCTTGTTGCTTTAACTATGGCTAATCCTCAGTTGTCATCTTACTTGGTCCCTCCCTTCTCCTGGAGACACTTCCTTAGCTTCCAGGATACCACCCTCTCCTGCTGTTCCTCCTTCCTCGCTGGCTGCTCTTCTAGTCCCTTTCCTGTGTCCTCCTCGCCTGCCTCAGGTGTCTGCGCTGGAGCATCCCGAGGCTCAGACCACTCTGTGCTCACTCCTTTGGTGATCCAGTCCTACCCCCCCAGGAGTCCTCTGTCTGCTGGTGATGCTCACATCTATGTCTCCTGACTCTCCTCTGAGCTGCAGACTCATATCCAGCCACCCACCTGGCATGTCCACTTAGCATGTCCCGCACCCGGCTCCTGACCACCCCCTCCCTGCACTTCTTGGCTGTCGCCCCTCATAACAGCACCTCCCCTCTTCCAGTTGCTGGGCCCAGAAACTTCAGAGTCACCCTGGACTCCTCTCTTTTACACCCTACCCCCCACCATCCATTCTATCAACAAATCTTGGCTTTACCTTCAAAATACTTCCAAAATCTGAGCACTTCTCACTACTGCCTCTGTTTCCATCCCAGTCCTGGCTGTGGTTACCTCTTGCCTGGATTGCTACAATTTCCTCCTAACTGACCTGTCCGATTTTACTTCTCTGCTTGGCCTGCCCCCATTTATTCTCAAATCAAGGGTCAGAGTGATCCCTTTAATACTTTCAGTGATGCATCACCAGCATCAGTCTGGCATAGGCAGCTGTTCACTAAATACTTGTTGAACGAAGGAAGGAAGGAAGGAAGGAAGGAAGGAAGGAAGGAAGGAAGGAGCCTACCTTTCTTGAATAGGAGTGAAGAGTTCCTAGGGTGATATGAGGTCTGGAGCCAAAACAAATGATCTTAAAAACCAGAACAACTTTGTAGATAACTTCAAGCAGCTACGAGTCACTTCCCGTTTCCATCAGGGCTTTTCACTGTTCTCCAAGTCTGGAGAATACTGAAGCCCATGACCCTGAGCCCTCACCAGATTGGCTCAGGCCGCTGGGCAGGCGCCGATCTCCCTGGCTCAAGTTCGACATTAAGACAGTGACATTTACTGAGTCACTGCTCTGTGCCAGGCGCCCTCCTGCTTTACCTCATTTAGTCTTAGGAACCTTCCTTTCCTGGAAACTGGATTGGAGAATCATAGGCTGTTGACCCTGTCTGCACGGGCGTCCCATGAATGCAGTTCTCCAGACTGAATACTCTCACTCGGGGGTCCTACCCACCTTTGTGAAGTTTGTTCATTTCTATGCAAGAAAAGCTTCACAAAGGTAGGTATAAGAAGATCCATTTGGAGGTGCATTTGAGGACTCTTTCGGTAAAGGGAGCAAACAGGGATCTGGGCTCTTCTGCCATTGTGGCTCTGGGTTTGGGGAAGCTGCTGTCTTGCAGGATGAGGCTGCGTGCCATTTCAGGGCTTGAGCCTCCCGCCCTGACCTGTTACGGGCTGGGGATGGACACGCAGTGCACCCCGCCCCATCTCCCTGGCAGGCTTCTGCGATTACAGAGTGAGAGGGTCTCTTTTGCCTGACCTGAGCGTCCCTTTGTCACCAGGGAGCTCCCAGGATGGCCGTCCCGCCTGGCAGCCTGAACGTGATGGAAGAGACTCGGAACATGACAACGAATGAATGCTTCCAATCCCGGAGCACCGTCCTGCAGGGGCAGCCCTTTGGGGGCATCCCCACCGTGCTGTTCCTCAACATCTTCTTGTGGGTGGTAAGTCCTGGGCTCCGTGCTGGGCAGTGAGGCCTCGGAGGGGCACAAGTGACGCAGCAGCGGCCTCGGCTCTCCAAACGCATGCCAGCCATAGTGGTGGGGACCCCCCGAATGTCAGTCGTGTCCAGGGCAGCCCGGGAAGAGGGAACTGCAGGAATAGGCAGCGTTCCTAAGGCTCCTTTCGCCGCGCCCTTGTCCAGAAGCCCACCTGGCCGGTGCCCTTGAGCCTCCCTTCTCTCTCCCCTTACTGATTTCTTCAAGGAATGTTCTTTTATTTTCTTTTTCTTTTTCTTTTTTTAATATTTATTTGAGAGAGAGAGAACGGCAGGGGGAGAGGCAGAGGGAAAGAGAGAAGCAGACTCCCCGCCGAGCAGGGAGCCCGATGTGGGGCTCCGTCCCAAGGGACTGAGATCATGACCTGAGCCGAAGGCAGATGCTTAGCCGACAGAGCTGCCCAGGCGCCCCTTCAAGGAATGTTCTTGTCGGATGGTTCCAAGCGTGACACCGATGCCTTTATTCAGCAGACTCTGAGAGTCCACTCTGTGCTGGGAAGCTGCTGGGCACTGGGCATCCAGAGTTGAAAAAGGCATAGCCTCTACCCTAACAGAGCTAGCCACCTTGTTGGGGAGCCCGGGGAGCCCCTGGGAACCTGAGGGACAGGGTCTCCCCCACGGGGATGCAGGGGCCAGCCAAGCAGAAGACATATCCCCACGTCCCCTTCCCTGGCCTGTAGGTCATCATTTTGGTTTACTCCTTCCTCCGGAAAGCTGCGTGGGACTACGGGCGCCTGGCTCTGCTGATACACAATGACAGGTGAGGGGAGGCTGGGGGTCAGGAGGAGTGAGCGGCTTGCCTCCTTGGGGGCTGTGCTGCCACCACCAGGACCCAGCAGGTGTCCTCTCGGCACCCACTCCTGCCCCTGTGCTGGCCCTCCTTGCAGAAAGAGAACTTGGTGGGGAGGGGCAGTCATCTCTGGGCACAAGGCCACTTTTTTCTCGGATCTCAGACTTTCTGGATCCCGTGACTCCCGAGATACATTGGGCACCTGGCAACAGGGGTGATTACTGTCTGTCCCCGGGGCTGTGTGCTGCTGAGGCGTGTGCGGTCTTGATCCGGAGGGTGCTGCCGCTCTCAGCCTGGGAGTCAGAGGGACAGCAAGCCTGAGGCCTTTTCTCTCCTTTTCTGCCTCCCTGCTCCCTGCCTCTCCTGGCTGCAGCTTGACCTCACTGATCTATGGGGAGCAGAGTGAGAAGACATCCCCCTCGGATATTTCCCTGGAGATGGAACACAGGGACAAGGTGAGTGCTTGGGTGGGCCCGGGCCCAGAGGGCTTCTGGCCCCGGGCAGCCGCGCAGCCGTGTGCAGAACGGAGCGTGCTCACGCCCAGGCGCTTTGCAGCTGGTGACACCCAGCCTGGCCCTGCGACCTTGCACAAATTCCTCAGCCTTGCCACGCCTCTGTTTCCCCATTGGAAAGATGGAGCTTTCACCATTCCTACCTCCAAGTAAGAGTTAGTTAATTCTATTATTTTAAAGGGATTTTTTTTTTTTTTAAACTATTTTTCCTGCTCTTCTCAAATCCTCAACCCTCGTCACAGCCCGTGTCCTGCCCAAGCCCCGCTCTGAGCCAAGGACTCCTACTTCACACAGGAGATGCCTCACATCCGGCAGGGACTCCCTCGGCCTCCTGCACCCCCGCTCCACGGAGCCCCGTCTTTTCCTTCTCGTCCCTGTCGGGGGCCAGTCGTCCACCTGAGCTTGTTCATCTGCTCAGCCAGCTGCCCTGGTGCACCTGCTGAGGGCGACCGCTGGTCCGGGGACTGGGCAGTGGACAAAATGGACCAAGTCCTGCTTCATGGGACTTTCTCCCTGGCCGAGAGACACACATCTGTCTAGATGCACACAGGACGGTGGTCAGTGCGTGAATTCCCAAAGGGGCAAGGAAGGCAGGCCACAGTAATGGGACGGCGCTGGAGTGTGGCAGAGGGTGTCAGGGACGGTCGTGGGCCCCGCCACAGCCCACAGGCGCCTGTGTTCCTCTGTCCCATCACAGCGGAACTGGAAGAGCCGTCTGCACCTGCGCTCACCCCTTCCCCCTCACTCTCGACCCCTGCAATGTGGCTTCCGTCCCTCCATCCCACCCAGACAGCTCATCAGTTGTCCCACGTGATGAAATCCGATGGACTTTCCTGAGTTCTCATCTCATCTGATCTCTCAGAAGCATCCGGCCCTATAGACCATCTTCCCTTCCTGAACGGGCCCTTCCAGTTGCTTCCGTGGACACCACACTCTCTGGGCTTCCCTTCTGCCGCTCCGTCTGTTCCTCCCTGTCCCCTCTGCAGGCTCCTCCTCCGCAGCTGGAGTTTCCCTCAGTGGGTCTCAGACCTCCTCCTCACGCTCCTGGGCAGTGTCACCCATACTCACGACCTCAACTGCCGCCTCTCCACAGACCCTTCCTAAATTTCCGTCTCCAACTAGCCTTCCCTCTGGGCTCCAGGCACGTTTATCCAATGGCCTTCAAAATACCTCCACGTGGATATTGTAAAGGCATTTGGGATTCAGTATGTCCGAAACGTGCCACGCTGTCCATCCACCCACCTGTTCCTCACTCCCTTGTCTCAGACTCTGCCTACCACCCACCCAGGTGCACCCCCTTGGTGTGGCCCAGGCCCCCAGGCACAGCCAGTCCATTACCGAGTTATATTGCTGTCACCTTTCCAGTCTTGTTCCTCTCCCCCCACCCCCAGTCCAGACCCCTGCCGGTCTCTTGTTGGATGACCAGGGTGGCCTCTAACCCATCTCTATGTCCACACTTATGTCCTGCCCCACCCATTTTCCACCCGCATCCGGAGCGATCCCCATGAGCGGGGACACGCATTCCCTTGTGTAGACCTTCACTGGCTTCCTAGTGCTCTTGGAATGAAGCGCGGATGCCTTGCGTGGCCTCGTGCTTTGGTCTCCTGCCAACCTGTCCAGTCTGTCTTTCTCCTCCCAACTCCCCCATCCCTGGCCACCTTGGCCACCTTTTAGATCCTCAGAAGTGCCACCTCCTTTCCTCCACAGGACCTTTCACCTGCTCTTCCCTGTCTCCCTCTGCGGTGGCCCCCGCGCTGGGCTAACGCGCTGACCCTTCGTTCAGATTTCAGCCCCCGCACCACTGCCCTGGGAGCCCCATCTGCCCCACGTGGGCCCAGATCTTTTGTCCTCTGCGCACGGAAAATGCATCCCTTTTCTTCAGGGCTCTTAACCCAGTGGGTAACGATCCCTCCTCTACCTGATCGGTCCCGTGTGTCTGACCAGGTCTTGCCTGCACTCCCTGCACCCAGGCCAGCCTGCCATGTAATTAGCATCTGATAGGTATTTGTTGGAGGCAGTGAGTGAGTCGAACCCTTTTCCTTCCCCGTCATCCTTCCAAGAGACCTGGTCCCGCTACCTGCCACGATCTGCCCCAAGCTGTGCGGGGAGCTGCACACCAGTTTGTCTCTCAGAGTTTCTCCGTAGAATAAGGACAGTCACACCTGCCTTACAAGATGGTTCGCAGCTTTATTTTCAGAAACATTACTTTGGTTGGGGTTTTTTTGTACAATGGCACAAAGATCATTTATTTTAAAAAGATCTGAGACCTCATGAGGGAGGCAGTGGGCAGTCACCCTGCAGAGCTGGAAATGAGGCAGGGAGAGTGGGAGGTGGGGAGTGGCCCCTGGAGCGCCCCAGCCACGATCCCGGGGCCTCGGGCCAGCAGAGGGGTCATTACCCCACATGGTGGGAGTGCGGAGGGTGGGGCCACCAAGAGAGGTGCAATGAACTGACCACTGTCACAGGCCTTGGGCGCCAAGCTAGCCCCTGGGAGCTTGTGGCCGTTTCCTGCAGGGGTGAGGCAAGAGGGGACGCAGCATCCCTTCTCAGGCCTGCGGTTCAGCTGCTAAGTTTGCTGAATGGTTTATGCCTTTCGTAACTGTGATGTACATGCGGGGGGGCCTGTGGGGGAGTCTGTTGTCTGTGAGCACAGAGAGAGGTAGTCCACACAGGCTCGCGGCACATCCGGGTCTGTGCAGTTGTCACGGCACAGAGGCCACACTCTGCCCTTTGACAGACAGCCTGTCCCGTGTGAATTCCAGGACGCATGCGTGCCGTGTGTCTATCCCCCTTGGCACCTGCCGTAGAGGGGGTGGAAGGGGTTCCCAGGAAGGTGTGTCCTCCACTGTGCATGACCGACCGCTAGGGACTGTCAACAAACCTGCTTGCTCCCTAGATAAATCACACCCGTTTGCCCAAAGGTGGGTGGTGGAGAAAGCCCCTCCTGGGCAGGGAAGTGTGGTCAGACTCTCTGCCCAACTCTTATTTAGCAATTCACTCCTTCCCTGGGGACATTCCTAGTCAATGCCACCAGTATGCTATTCCCCTTCTTTGCTTTGACTCATACCTGGGCATCTGTCCTGATTTTATTTATTATTTTTTGGTGGGGGACAGAGGGAGAGGGAGAGAGAGAGAGAACCCCAAGCAGGCTCCACGCCCAGCGCAGAGCCGACATGGGGCTCGATCTGACGACCCCAAGATCGTGACCTGAGCCAAAATCAAGAGTCTGACGCTTAACTGACTGAGCCACTCCCCCCACCCTTTTTTAGGGAGTGTCCTTATTTTAGTTCCCCAGGACAGAACTGGGCAAATGGTGCCCCCCCTAAGGTGGACATCTGACTATTAGGCAACCCCAATCCAGGGAAGGGGACTTGGTGGGCCTTATGTGGAAGGGAGCAAAGAACTTCCTTCTGTTTCTTGCTTGCCTGACCCCCCCCCATCGCTTCCTTTTGGGCAATACCCCTTCCCCAATCAGTGTGGTGCTGGGGAATGGCAGCCAGGTGGGCCTGCCTGTTTCACTGATGTGCTTGTGATCAAATGGGGTCAATCAAGAATTGCAACCTTTTCCCAGATTTTGCTAAACCCTGCAGAATCCCAGAAGGAAGCACACACCAGGGCAGTTTAACCAGCTACCAGATCTGGCGGCTTTTAGGGCCATGGGCCCCAGCCTGTCCTCACACACGTTCTTCCCAAGTACACGTCCTCTCTAGGCCTCCCACCACCTCCACCGCTGAGGCTGCCCTTCCCTACCACCCAGAAACCAGACAGCAAGACCCTGAGCGAAAGACGTAATCGGCAGGACTCTCAGATGTAAGAGAAGAAACCCAGCTCAAACTAGGTAATATGTGGCTTGAGTCAGGGGAAATTAAAGAGAAGTGGCTGCCTTGGGTACAGGGAGCTCCGGGGAGTCCAGAGATACCACCAAGATCCCCCCTCCAGCCCTCTTTCCTCTGGGCAGGCTATTTTTCTCAGACAAGCGCCTGCCTGTGGCATCGAAGATGGCACCAAGCCACTGCAGGCTCCATGGTGTTCACCAAGGTGCAAGAGCTCAGGTGGAGAGAGACTCCCTCTCCCGAGATCCCCGTCAATCCCCTTAAGAGAATTTTGATTGGCCCCACTTGGGTCATGCTCCCATTGATCAACTGACCACTGGTGGCAGACCCCTACTTCATGGACAGCCCACCCGGCCATATGCATGAGGTGGGGGGCATTTCCCAGAAGGAAGCAATGAGGGACAGACAGAAAGTAGCCAATGTCCACCGCACAGAATTGACAGCTTCTCTCCCTTGGTCCAAGGCCCACAAAGCCCCCATTTCCTGTAACAGGATGCCACATGGCGGGAACGTGAACTCACAGCTCACTTCTGGGGAGACTTCTTCCTGGACAGCCACCACAGATTCCAGATGGAACCCACTTCCTTCCAGAACCTGAGCTCTTTCTCACTGCCATCTCTTGCCCGGAAGGAGGCCCCTATGGACGCCGCCTGGGTTCACTCAGCTGTAGGGCAGGCCTGGGGCTGGATTTTCTCACATGTTCTCTCCTTTCTCCCCAGGGCTTCTATTCCTGGTTCTTCAACACCGTCACCATGAAGTAAGTGCCTGAACTTTTTTTTTTTTAATTTTATTATGTTATGTTAGTCACCATACAATACGTCATTAGTTTTTGATGTGGTCAACTTTTTTTAAAAAAGATTTTATTTCTTATTTGTCAGAGAGAGAACATGAGCAAGAGCAGGGGAAGGGGCAGGGGGAGTGGCAGCAGGGAGCCCGATGCGGAGCTCGAGCTCGATCCCAGGCCCCCGGGATCATGACCTGAGCCTAAAGCAGACACTTAACTGACTGAGCCACTATGCAGGCGCCCCTTTGTGCCTGAACTTTCTGAACTTGTGCCGGCAGCTGCCTTACTTGGGGCAAGATGGGGCTGGACCTGAGTTCTGTGCCCCACGCCCGACTCCCCCTGACCACTTCAGCCCTGCCCAGGCAGAGGAGGCCCTCTGGGGTTCCGGGAGGGAGGGGGATGGGAATTGGACATAGCCCGCAGCCCTCAGGAAGGCACCACTTAGTCACGCGTACAAAAACACTTTTATGAACTCCACCCTACGAAAAAGAAGTTCTTCCTGCAGTGCTATCTGCTTTATTTCTGTGAGCATCCTTCATCATACTGAAATGGGAAAGAACACAGCGGGGAGAAGGGCTCAGCCCTGATAACAGAAGGACAGCCCCTTGCCCACCCCGCCTCCTGGATCTCTTTAGGGCCAGACCCCACTTGGCAGGGAGACAGACCCCAGGTCACCTGTTTCTCCTGATTCCCCCACGCTTCAGCATTCTGACTTGCCACTCCTGATTCCACCCTGCTTCAGCTGGGCACCTTCCCGAGCTCTTCCAGCTCTCCGTGCCCCCACGGTGTGTGTGTGCGTGCATACACGTGCGCGCGCGCACACACACACACACACACGCACACTCGTGCCTGTGCACACAACTCTGCTGCCACCTCATAGCCCTGCACATTCCTGGGCGCTCCCTAAATATCCCCCATCCGTCCTGCCCTGTCCATCTTCCAAGCCCCTCCTCCAGGGCCTTTTCTTGCCTGGTGCCTGCCGTAGGGTGCAGCCACGCAGCCCATCTGAGGCCACCTGCAGCAAGCGGCCGGACTGGGTCTGCTAACTTGCTTTCTTGGCAAAGGCTCCTACAACTTCCTCCTGCACGCCCACCAGTCAAGGTCCTGGCTGGGAGCCTTCCTCCATTTTCCCAAGACCCCACCCCACCCCCACAAGCCACCTCAGGGCGCCTCTCTTTCTCTAGACCTGCTGAAGAGGGTACAAGCACCGTTCCTAGGCCCTGGGAACCCTGAGCTGGGCTTAAGACCATGAGCCTCGGGTGTCTGAGCTGCAACCCCGCTGATGGGGCAGTCCCCGTGGCCTTGCCCCCACCCCTAGCCCCCACCCCAGTCTACCTTCATCATTCATCAGGGTCCACCAGAAGTGATACAGCTAGTTTGTGTGTGGTCCAGGGATCTTAGCCACACGCAGGGGGAGTGGAGGGCAAATGGTTTCTCTCTTGGATAAACCTTCTCTGGTTTTGCTTTGGTAATTTTTAAGACATGCACAAGCTCACATTAAAAGTTTTTGTTCAGAGAAACATGAAAGTCCACCTCCAGCCCTCCTCCAGGGATGCCATCCCTGTCAACAGTTTTAGGGAATCTTACTTATTTTTCCCTGTAAACAAGCATTAACTGAAAAAAAAATTATTATTATTATTATTATTTTTTAATGACCACTAGGGCGTATGACCATTTGGAGCTGGTGACCTCAGGAGGCTGTCTGGGCTGGCTCTAGGTTCCTGGGTTTAGCAAAGTCATGAATGCTGGGCAGGGGCAGGGTGGCACGTTAACCAGCCCTTTGCAGGGGTGAGAGGGAAGGAATCCCAGAGCGCCTGCTCCTGAGCTGACCATATCCTCAGTCCTGGGTAGCTTGAGGCTGACTTTCTGGATCTTCTCTGCCATCTGCTGACACGTCAATGGGTGTATTCAGGGTGGGGAAAAATGTGTCCGTGTTGCAGGAGAGAAGCGTACGTGCCAAATACAAGACTTCATGTGGTAGGTGTGTCTGTGGTGTGCGTGCAAATATGAAATAAAAGAGCCACGTCGCTGCATTGGTGCAAATCTGCATGCAGCTGTCCAGGTGTGCGTGCCCGGACCTGCAGGTCAGGGGAGGTCAGTGTGCCCAGTGTGTGTGTCTGGATCCTCTTCCCCCCCCCCGACTCCACCCAAAGACTCCTCCATTGGGAACACATCATCCGGGAAGGGAGGACGGCTGACCGTTGCACTGTGCATCCTGCATCCTTTGGGAGCAGGGTCTAGAAGACAGCCTCCCACAGCTGAGACAGCTCAGTCCCTGAGCAGGGACAGGGATGCCAGAGTCCCCGGGCACAATGCCCAGGCAGTCTAGTCGGAGAGGCAAAGGTTAACAGGACTCACTACATATAATTCATAATAGGGAAGGTTCATTGTCGGGCAAAGGGCATTTGGGGGAGCAAGAAATTAATTCCAGCTAGGGGGTTCAGGAGAAGCAAGTTTTGAGCTAGGCCTTGAAAGATGGGAAGAATTTCCACACTAAGCCCAGTGGAGGGCCCATCACAAAGAAAGGACTGCATGAGTGAAGGTTTGGGGCAGAGATGGGCCAAACCATCCAGAAATGGTCAATCTGGTGTGGCTAGAAACAAGAATACATCTCAAGAGAGAGGCTAAAAGATTGGGCTGGAAAAATCAGCTAGGATCTTGACGGCCATGCTAAGAATCCTGGGCTTTGATCTAGAGGCAGGAGAGCGCTAATTCCTAATTTTGAGTAGGGTACTCAGGGTGAGAATCTGTTTGTAGGCAGGAGTATGGGGGGGACTGGCAGTCGAGCAAGTCCAGAGGCGAGGTGAGCACCTAAGGAGGGTTTTCCAGTGTCCAGGTGAGAGGGAGTGCTGACCAAGGGAGGAGGCAGATGGAGAGAGATCATGGGGCTACAGTCCATGGGCCTTGGCCTCCCATCTGGCCTCCAACTGGTTAAGAAAAGGAGTGATCCAAGTCTGGTCTCTGGGGAAGATAGTAATGCTACTAGGTGGATGCTGATGAGATACGAGGAGCTGGGAGAATGATGAATTATGGCTAGGGCAAACCCGCGAGTTGACCAGCAAGCTATTGAAAAACAGGGTTCGTTAAAGCTTCGGAGAAAGGTCCGAGCGGGAGGGCTTGGCCTGGGAGATGGGTGCAGGAGGTCATAGTTGAAATTGTGGGAGCGGATCAGTCACCCAGAACGGGAAGCTAGATCAAGAAAGAGTGCCACAGGGGCAGGAGGGAGGAGCCGTGATCTTTAGGGCTGGCCTCCCTGAAGCCCTCCAGGGTGTGGCGGGCAGCCTGTGAGCTCCGAGCTCCTGGTTGAGTGCAATGAGAGCACGCAGAGGGCGTGGACGTCAGTGATTTGGTTCTCCACTGGGGGGACGGTTCCTGGGTCAGGTGTCTGTGAAGTTGAGGCAGACGAAGAGGTGGGTGGGAGGAGGGAGTGAAGATGTTGGCTGGAACTTGAGGGCAATCGGTCAGGGAATGGAGGCTTGAGGAGTTTCTTGTATTTCAGAGTAGCCAATGTGCCCTTGAACCCGGTGGTATTTCCGAGATGTGGAGAGAGGTGGCTGTGAATTCGAAGATGAGAGAAGACAGTGGATACAGTGGGTGTCCAGAAAGAGGAAGCAGGAGGGAAGCGACCAGAGCCAACAGGAGAATTAGTTGTGAGGAGGAGGGTGGTGGCTGGAACTTTGGGGCGGGGGGTCAGTGTCTCGGCTCCCTCCTGAGACTGGAGGCTCTCTCGCCCCACCCTGTCTGAGGCTCACTCCTGTCAGGTGACCAGGTCTTGGCACCCAAGCCTGCCGCAGGACCCTCCCTTCATTCCCGCTCCCCAGCACCCCGCCTTCTCACCAGTTCCCACCCACCCCATTCTTGGGATTTAATTCTCAAGTCCAAGGCAGGAAGTATTTTAACGGCTTGCAGTTAAAAAAAAAAAAAATCGAGAGCTCTAAATAATTCCCTAAATGGGGATTATTGAAACGCCTTGAAGATATGCTCTTTATAGTATTGTTTAAAAATAAATCTGAATCCTGGACTGGATGCTAGAAGTTGCATACACTCTACGAGCCTGACCGGAGAGCAGGGGTGAGTAAACCCTGGGACGTCCACCAGCGGAGTGGGGAGGCCACCTTGGTGCTGGGTATGAACCAGCGCCCCATAAGTGGAGACCACTATCACCATTACCACTGTGCAGCCATGAAAAACATTTAGACAAAACGTGAAACAGTCAGAAAAGGCTTCAGATGAAAACCTAAGCAACACAACAATACATCCAATGCTGTTTATACTATAGTCACGAAATTAAACCGGCACAACCACAAAAAACTAAAGCAATGGACCCAAATGCTTCATGGTCATTATCTTAGGTTGGATGAGATTATAGGCGAATGATTTTCTTCTTTGTATTTCCCCCAAATTCTGTAATAAGCATGTGTTGCTTTTAAATTTCTTTTTGAAGTATAACACACATATGGACAAGTGCACAAAAATCAAGGTCCAGCTCAGCTGTAGCAAAGCAGGTCAAGGATTAGAATTGCCAGCGCTCCAGGAGCTCTCCTCCTGCTCCTTCCCAACCCCCTGTGACCTCCCCCTACCTCCCCCTCTCCAAAGACATCCAGTATCCTGACTTCACTCTCCGTAGTTTAGTATTGCCTATTTTTGAACTTTGTCTATGGAAACATTCGTATATATTGTTTGTGCCTGGATCTTTCACTCAACATTGTGTTTGTGAAATTCAGCTGTGGTCATTCATTTTTTTTTATCTCTGTATAGTATTTCATTCTATATCTATATCATTACATATAGCTCTCACATATATACATATACATATGTATCTCACACTCTTTTTTTTAAAGTAGACTCTATGCCCAATGTGGGGGCCTCAGCTCACACCCCCAAGATCTAGAGTCGCACGCTCCACTGACTGAGCCAGCCAGGCGCCCCTATATCTCACAATTCTTGTGTCCGTTTCCACCTTGGGTAGACATTTAAGTTGTTTGGGGCTGTTAGAAATAATGCAGCTGAGATTCTTATACATGTCTCTTGATATACATGTGCCTGTGTTTCCACTGGGAATAAAACGAGGCGTGGAGCTGCTGGGTCACAGGCTGTGCATGTAGTCAGTGTCCTTAGATGATACCAACTGTTCGCCAAAGCAGCGGTGCCGGAGTATGTACCCGTGCATGGGGGAGAGCTCCCAGTGCCCCCATACCTTCGCCAGCACTTGCTATTGTCTGACTTTCTAACTTTGGCCAATCTGGCAGTGTGGAGTGATATCTCATTGTGACCTTAAGAATTCTCTTTTAGGGCACCTGGGTGGCTCAGTCAGTTAGGCGGCTGCCTTCGGCTCAGGTCACGATCCTGGAGTCCCTGGAGCCCGCATCGGGCCCCCGCTCAGCGGGGAGTCTGCTTCTCCCTCTGACCCTCCCCCCCTCATGCTCTCTCTCTCTCTCTCAATAAATAAATAAATAAAAAGAATTCCCTTTTAATTTACAAATTAAAAGAAACAACTTAAATCGGATGCTTCTCCGTATCACTACTAGTTGGTCTGGTGCACGCCCCATAGCAAGCACTCAACACGAAGCAAGAAAAGATGGAATGACTGCTTGATTTCAAAAGTGCCTCTGGATTCCCAAGTGTGTGTGTGTAACAGCTTCTGCTTTGGATATGCCTGTGAAATTCAGTGAAATACATTTCAGGCATGATAGAGGCTTTAAGACAAAGGGTGATAATTCTAAAAAAAAATTAAAAATAAAAACTTGGGGGTAGGGTGATAATCTTCTCTTCCTCGCCCTCCTTCCAGTGTACCCTGTGGCCGCACAGTCTCCTGAGAAATGTCCTTGTCTGTATGTCTCTTCCAGGAACGAGGATCTGATCAGCAAGTGTGGAGATGATGCCCGCATCTACATCATGTTCCAGTATCACCTCATCATCTTTGTGCTCATCCTCTGCATCCCCTCCTTGGGTATCATCTTGCCCGTCAACTACACCGGAACCGTTCTGGGTAGGCGGAGCTCAGTGCGCCCGGGGCCCTGGGCCCCCAGAGCAGAGGGGCAGCCCGGGAGGCAGGACAGAGCATGGGTCTCGAGTCTAGAAATCCAAAATGGAATTCCACTTCTCAAAATTAGTTATGTGAGCTGAGGCCCCCCGAACTTCAGCTCTCCCACGTGGAGACTGGAGAGGAGACATCCGTCGTCACGAGGCTGGCTCAGGACCTTGGTACAGCAGGCGTGCAATAGTAATTCAGCCTGGAACTGAAGGTTTATCGGCAGCCCCGTGCTACACCCGGCCAAGTGCTTGCGAGGCCTTTTTATGGCATGTGACCTACGGCAGAGATCCCTGAACTCGATCTCTCCCAACCCCCACGGCGGCCAGACACAGCCCTAGAAGTGCAAAATTGGTCTCCTAGGAAGTCTAGCTACGCTTGTTATAAAAGGGCACGTCCTTTAGACAGACTGACATTGTGGGCTTGGGCTTCGAAGACAGAAAAATCTTGGTTCCCCAACTTTGACCCACATCTGCTTCCCAGAAAACACCTTCGCCCAATCTAGCAAATTATTTCGTCTTATATGCAGCAGATCAGGCTCCCTGGGCGTCGGGTCCTCAACTGTCATGGGGATTGGGAGAGAATGCATGCCTGGTGCCCGGCTCGTAGTGAGTGCTCAGTGGATAATAGCCAGTATTTCACTTAGCAACGTGAGGAGGGGCAGAGCTGAAGGCTGTGTAACTAGGTGGGGTCATGTAGCGCCCACCATGCCCGGGTGGCAGCCAGTGGTACCCTGGTTCCTCAGATGGCTGTTTCTCCTCAGCCAGACGTAGACTTCAGTTAATTCAAGGTAGCACGCAATGTCTGCGCCACCACATACCGTTACCAGAGTCAGCAACTTCCGTCTTTCCAAATTCTCTTCCCAAGAGCTAGTGTGTTGGCAGTGATCTATTGTATATAATGTATATGTTATATTAATGCAGGATTTCTGGACACGTTTCATAACATCCAGAGATGTCTAAACCGACAAGCTAATGCAGTTTGCCAGAAGGATTTATTCTGTCCCAATGAGGCAACGTGACATTCTTGTGATTGTTGCCAGTGGTAACAGCCTTGCTGATTTCATCCCTCCACTCATGGCGGGGCCCTGGGCTCCTTCAGTAAGCGCTTACTGGTGTCTGCCACGCTCCAGTTGGGCACTGGGGATGCCACACCAAGACTTGGTCTCACGTCACAGCCGTAGAGCCCTAACCAGTAGTCCCAGGGAGAAGAAGAGGCCTCTGCTGGCTTTCTTGGGAGTTGGAGGCAAGTTCTGGGGGACGAGAAGGAAGGGCAGGACATAGGCAAGCATCTCCAGACCCCAGGCATGCATTCAGGAACCTTGAACTCAAGCAGCCCCCTCAACTCACTCAATCAAGGAACCGGCCTTGAGGTCAGCCACTTTCTTCTCTTCCAGATTGGAATAGCCACTTTGGTCGGACCACCATTGTCAATGTCTCCATAGAGTAGGTACCTGATCCTCTTACCACCCGTTCTACTGGCTGGGGCATTGGTGGGGAGAGAAGGTCCAATGTGTGGGTCGAAAACCTGGGCACTGCTTTGCTGCTAAGAAAGGCCTGGTTTCCTTGGGACCCGTGTACTGAGCGGGAGGCCAGAAGTTGCATTCTCTTGGTGCCTCGGTGTCCCCATATCTGTAATAGGTAGAACCACCCAAACTGGCCACTCCAAAGACCTGGAAAGACAGTCCTGTTGGTTTCCTACATCCGGCACCCAAGTGGCAAGGACCCGGTAGCAAGCAGAGGCTTGAGCTATTCTTTCCTGCCCAAAAATAGTGCATGTCAACCCCTCATCTAATGACTAACTCATAGACCCGATTCCCATACCCCCGGGGGGTGGGGGTGGGGGCTGAGGACCCACGTGACCCGGCTTCATGCCCCGCCTCTGCCGTTAGCTGGCCCTGGGTCCGGGGCAGTGCCTGCCCACCCCGAGCTGCATTCCTAGTCTGAGGGGAAGCAGGGGAGGAACAAACATTGGTCGTGATTCGTGAATTTCAGCAGCAGCCAACCCAACTGGTGGCTCAGTCAATGTGTACTAAGCCACATGTGGCCCTGCTGGTCCATGCTGAGAAAACAGGCCCGCTGGGGGTCTTGGCCACACGTGGCCGACTTCCTGACAAAGCTGAAGGGGCAGGTCCAGCAGGTGTGAGTGGGGGTTCACGCATCCCTGCCCCACTTGCCCCTGCACCCTGCAATCCATCAGCTCCCAAATCAGCAGGATGGGGCTATGGGCATCTTACCTCTCCCTCCAGGCGGCCCCTCCCCTGGTGCTGCCAACCCCGGAGCAGAGCTCACCAGCTTCTCCCAGGCCAGCCACCGGCATAAGGTGCCTACGCCTTCCCGACAAGATGTTAGTTTTAATAGGGCAGGAAAGACCTTCAACATCCGTAAGTCCATACTGGCAGAGAGCTGGAGTGTTCCTCAGAGTCCAGAGAAACTTGCCCCCCCCGAGGACATGGAGGATGGGACACCTAGCTGGGTAGGGAATATTCGGTGAAACGTCAGGCACAGGGGCAAGTGTCAAGGAGAGATTTTGAAGCAAGGCAGCTTTCTCTTCTCAAACCGCACCAAATAAGGTGGGTCCTATTTCTGAACAGTCCTCTTGGCCGGATGCCTTGGGACAGCATCGTACGAGCCCAAAGCCCTGGTGCCACCACTCTTCCCGTCCCAGGAGAGGTAGAGCGAATCCGCCGGGCCCTCCTCCCTTGGGGCCCGAGTAGGACCCCCCCATCCCTCGGCACTGAGGGCCGATGCCCCCCCCAACTTGGGCTGCCGGGCAGCTGTGGGAGCATGAGCTGGAGCCTCCAGCAGCCTGATATGGTGGTGAGGAGTCCCTGGGCGTCCTCTGCCCCAGGCTCACCTCCCAGTGCTGCCAGGGCTGGGAGTGACCTCTGCTTCTGACCCTCATTTCCCTATGGATAAAATGAAGATAGTCATAGAAACACCCTCCGAGGGTGTGAGAATCTGGTGAGAAAATGTACAGAAAGCATCTAGTCCCACCCTGGGTCTGGCACATAGTAAGCACTCAGTAAATGTTGGCCTGCGGTAGCTGGCGTGCCCCGCCCCCTTCTTACCATGGCCATCCCCTTCCAAGGTGGCCGAGTGTCTGGAAGTACCAGAGGGCAGCAGGAGACTGCCTGGGGTGGGAGAGGGTGGTCTCACCCCTCCTGTGTCTTGTTCCCGGCAGGAGTAAGGTCCTGTGGCTGCATAGCTGCTTCTCCTTCCTCTACTTCCTCATCAACCTCGTCTTCATGGCTCATCACTGTTTAGGGTTTGTGCCCAAGAAGAGCTACAAGGTGAGTAAGTGACAAGAACTCCCAAGCTGCTCCCTCCCAGCCAGAGCCTGCCCCCGCTGGAACACCCCACTCCCGCCTTCAGAGGCATCCCAGTTCTCACATTCTGCACACCTTTGGGGGGCAGTCTCACCCAAGCAGGGCAAACCTCCGCCCCTTGGCCCGGTGAGTCATTACCCGGCACCTCGCACAGCTGTCCTGCTTGGTAAACCCCTGGAACGCTTCCACACCGGTCGGTAAACGGCTGCTCCCAGAGGCCTCCTGCCCCTTGCCCTGCTGCCCGGACCCTCTCTGAAGACCCCTCAGCCCCGGCCATCCACAAACTAAAAGATTAACAAACACCTGGACCAGCAGGGCACTTCCATCCTAAGTGCCTAGTGTCCCCTGCTGGGGAGTGCCCAAGGTCCTCGCCCTTCCACAGTCTCTGAGGTCAGAGACTCCAGGGCCCGGCCCAGGTAGCCCCACTGTCCTGGTTTGGGTCACCCCACCTCCCAAGCAGGCCCTAAGATAAGAGTTTGCACAGCATTCACTTATTTTGAAGGTGATCCTAGGAGAAACCACTAGAGGGTGGGGAAGTGGGAAGAAGACGCAGGTAGGAGGGAATGGTTAGGGAGTGGCTCTCACTGCTGGGAGTCGGGGAGGACACGCGCCCTTGGTGTTCCCCCCCTGGGGGAGCGGTCTGCACATTCCCACCGGCTCCCTGGCCATCACTGGTTGAGGCTGCATTCGGGGCTTTAACTCTTCACACCTTTTTATTTTTTTTAAGATTTTATTTATTTGACAGAGAGAGACACAGTAAAAGAGGAAGGACAAGCAGGGGGAGTGGGAGAGGGAGAAGCAGGCTTCCCGCCCGAGCAGGGAGCGAGCAGGGAGCCCGATGCGGGGCTCCATCCCAGGACCCTGGGATCATGACCTGAGCTGAAGGCAGATGCTTAACAGACTGAGCCACCCAGGTGCCCCACACCTTGCTGGCTAACACTGGCAGTCCCAGTGTTTAATGTGCACAGCTGCCCTCGGGGTGTAGAGATGAGGCTGGGGGGCTGCAGGTGGGCCTGGCAGTGCTGCCCACCCAAGGTAATAACCACACCCACACCTGCACCAGCACCCACATAGCCCCAGCCCCAGCCCAGCCCCAGCTCCAGCCCAACCCCAGCCCCAGTCTTGGCCTCAGCTCCAGCTCCAGCTCCAGCCCCAGCCCAGCCCCAGCCCAGCCCCACCCCACCTCTGCTCCAGCCCCAGCCCGAGCTCCAGCACCAGCACCAGCACCAGCACCAGGAAGGGAAGGGGCGTGCGGGCTGTCCTGGCCCTGGTGGGGAAGGAAAACAGTGACAACTAACATCCCTGGCTCTGTCCTCGGCCATTCAGAGCTTCAGTGGAGTGGGATCAGCTCCCTCGATGCCATCCATCCTAAAGGACTGATTCAGTCTACCCCACCCCAGAACGCAAATCCACATACCCCTGAAAGGTTACCCCAAATGTGTTTGGCCTGCAGGCACAGAGGCTTGGGCACCCTTGACCAGTCTGGACTCAGCTACTTCAGCTTTCCTTCTTGTCACCAGAAGCTTCTGCTGAGACTCCTATCTCTTGAAGCTCAGTTTACCAGATTGTCACCCTGAGGGGATGACTCAGGACGACGTTTCCCACTGACAGAATAAAATGTGAAGTTTGAGGGGCTTCCTCATCCCCTCCCCAGAGTCTCCACACCTCCTAACTCCCCTGCGCAGTCTCACGTTAGGGACGGCCCTACTTTGTGGACGACAGCGCGGCCAGAATGGTGGCAGAGATAGCACAAGAGCATGAGCACCGTCTGTCGGTCCCGGAGCTCTGGGCCTCCTCCCTGGCTGGCCCTGTCTGCAGCTTCTGGCTCTTTCTCCCTTGACCTCAGCTGTCTGTGGTAGGGGGCCTGCAGCAGGGCCCCAGAGAGTAACAGAGATGCGGCATGCCTGCCTGTAGCTGCCCACCGCCCACAGCGCACAGCCTACTGAAGTCAGGGATGCAGGCCAGGGAAGCGAGGGGGCAGCCTGTTGAGTAGTGGGCCTACTCCAGACAGTTCTGGGCCACCAAAGACCCGGACATCTGGGAGTCCTGTGTAATCAGTCTTCTTTCTCCATTTGCCCCCCCCACCTAGGTCACAAGGACACTGATGATCACCTATGTCCCCACGGACATCCAAGACCCGGAAATCATCATTAAGCATTTTCAGTAAGTGGGTCAGAGTGGGCTAAAGCATGGATTGCCTCTTCCCGGTAACCCTGCCTACATCTTCATGTGGGTAGTAAGTTGGCATAAGATGGTAGAGCGAGAGACACTCCAAGTGGTAGCCCATCCTGGACTTGACTCAGGAGTAGCCTTCCAGAATGGCGGAGGCCCTGGGGCCAGAGCAGGGTTTCTGAAGTCAAGGGCTTTCCTGCATGGTGAGGGGTATCATTTTCTTCCTTTCCCTCATTACTCTAACCACAGAGCCCGGCGAGCTCCTGGACCACAGTTATCTAGAGCAGGTCATGTTGGGGCATCTTTTGTGACCCAAGGTCCTAGCCCAGGAGCTAATTATCTCTCATGGGCAGGAATTTCCAGTTCTGCCTGCTGGCCCTATTCTGGATCATCTGGGAAGGATGTGGCAAATCTCTGATTACCAGGGTTCACCTCTGAAATTTGACCTTAGGAACAAGGAATAGAGTCTCCCATCCAAGAACCAGGGACCACAGGCAGCTGAGCTACTCGGCCCTGTGGGCTGTAGTTCTGGGTGGGGGTCAGAGTAGTATGGCCCATCCCCAGCACCACAGGCTGGTTCAGCATCTGTGTCTGTGGCTACAGTGAGGCTTACCCGGGGTGCGTGGTGACCAGAGTCCACTTCTGCTATGACGTCAGGATGCTGATTGAGCTGGATGATCAGAGGTGAGTCGGCAGCAGGGCCTGTCTGGATCTGTGCTGGGGGATGCAAGGGGAGGGTGTGGCGCTGCTGGTCCCCCCAGACCACAAGATGCTTCCTCTCATTGCCTGCCGGCCAACAGGCGCCACGCGATGCGGGGCCGGCTCTACTACACTGCCAAGGCCAAGAAGAGCGGGAAGGTGATGATCAAGACCCACCCCTGCTCCCGCCTGTGCTTCTGCAAGTGCTGGACCTGCTTCAAGGAGGTACCTGGCCCGGGGAATCAAGGGACACGGCAGAGGAGGGGCGGGGGCACAGGGTCTCCAGCTCTGTCCAGGGCTCTGTACCCTCGGGCCCCATTCAGATCTGCTCTGGTGCTGTGACTCCTGGCTCCTCCCTCCCTTTCTGCCATGCCGTGCCTCCCCGTGGAGAATGTAGAGGAGCTGAAGCCTTTCTTGGATCCCCCTCTGGAGCGATCCAGGGAGGCTTGCTCTTGCCCACTTCCAGTCTTGGATGGGAGGACCAGCGAGAACATGGTAGACTGCTGTAGGCTGCCATGCCTCAGGCTTTCAAAGGGCGAGGACAGGAACATTTGAAGGCTCTGGGCTCCATCTTCTCACCCAACCACTGTGGCTAGAAGGAGACCACAGGGCAGGACTGAACTCTAGCCAGTCCAGAAAAAGAATCATCCCCATTTCCTGAAAATGCTGGAGACACATTCTGTCACTCCTCTGGAGTCCTGCCCAAGTCCAGAAGCATCCCCTAGCCCCCAGGTGTGCCTCCCCTTCCCCCGATCTAAGAGCAAGGAGCTAATTTCAGAGTCATGGCCTTTTCCTGTTCTTGAGCTGGGATCTGGGAGCCCACTGGGATCCTGAGCTCTTTGCCAGGCTTTGAAGGGAGTTGGGAATGGAACCGAGGCCTCAGGCTCACCACCCGAGTGGAGAGAGGCCTTATGTCTAGGGGAGGCCTTCCTAGCGCTCTGGCTTCTCCAGCTCTGAGGGCCAAATCTCACCCCAGGTAGATGCAGAGCAATATTATAGTGAGCTGGAGGAGCAGCTGACTGATGAGTTCAACGCTGAGCTCAACCGCGTTCGGCTGAAGCGTCTGGACCTGATCTTTGTCACCTTCCAGGACACCAGGATGACGAAGCAGTGAGTGCCGGGGCCAGCAGCTTGCTGTGCCTAGCCCAGCCCTGAGAATGGGCTTCTGCTTCTCTGAAACCACCCTCTTTCACCCCCATTCCAGCCAAGGGGAGATGAAAGAGAACCTCCCTCCAGTTTGCCATATTCTGACCACCCCTCAACCCCTCCGTGCTCCTCACAGGCAGCCCTGCCATCTTGCTTTCCAGAGCATGTCTGCATCCACTTCGCCACAGCTGCCAGACTCAGGTTGTCTCCAGAGCCATCCAGGCCCTGGGCTCCCCATCCCCATATGTCCTTGCTTTAGCATGGAGGTAGTCAGAGTAGACATCTTGGTTCCTCTTCTAGGCCTTGACAAGAATGAATCCATTTTTTTCCCATTACACATCACCCCTTTCCTCACCACAAATGACAGAGTCAGGGTAGAGAAGCTCTCCTTGCTGTTTCTGCTCTCCTGCTGCAGGCCTCCCCTAATTCATAGCCTTACAGCCTCCTCCCTCCTCTGCCCCAACCCCTGGCAGCTCTACTTTGATGGGGAGTAGATTAGATGCAATCAGGTATGTTCTGGAAGAATCCTTAGGATAGGGTCAAAGAGATGAGAACCCCGGCACCAGCCCCTTGAGGATTGTGGGGGGCCCTCCTCTCTCGGAGGGAGCCTGATCATACACACCACTTCGTCCTCACCCACCCACACCCTACAAGTAGAACAGCCTGGAAGTTAGTCAAATACGATTGTGTGCAATTTGCAAGTCCTTTATACGCTCAAATTTTTTATCTGTCAAATTTGTTTGCTTAAAACTTTCCTGTCCACCTCCCAGAGGGTTAAGGAGGGATATGTGATCTATTTAGTATATATGTTCCATAAAACAGTATACCCATGTAAGCCAATACTGTTCTTTTCTTTTCCTTTTTTTTTTTTTTTAAGATTTTATTTATTTATTTGTCAGAGAGAAAGAGAGCACAAGCAGGGGGAGCGGCAGGCAGAGGGAGAAGCAGGCTCCTCGCCGAGCGGGGAGCCCGACGCGGGGCTCGATCCCAGGGCCCTGGGATCATGACCTCAGCTGAAAGTAGACGCTTAACCGACTGAGCCACCCAGATGCCCCAGTACTGTTTCTTTTCTGAGACATTGTCACCCAGTAGAAAGGATCTGAGGTTTAATTACAGCAGAAATGTGAATAAGACCGAAGACTTCAGTGCCGGCACCTGCCCCTCTTTGGTTGTGTCTTCAGGCATCTCAATTTAGTAATCTGTTCGACTCGGATTCTATTCATTGCCAATTAGCACAGTGTCGGGCACACAAAAAGAACTCAGTTGGTAGCTATTAATACTAATATGAGGCTGAAGTTAGCGCCTCCCCCGTCAACCTCAAGGAAAGAGCATATCTTTGTGCTGTCCCTGCTGTCAAGGGGAAAAGACTTTAACTGAGAACCATGTGGTCCCCTCCCTGCCCAGGTAGTCCCTCCCGCTGCTGCCCCTTTCCTCCAGGGACTAGGCTTTAGGAGCTGCCTAACTGTAAGATCCTGGGAGGCATTCCCAAGGCTTCGAGAATCCCTAGGAAGTGGGGCCATCTGTAGGACCCTGGCATGAGACCCCCTCCTAAGCCCGTTGTCCTCAGCCCCAGACCTCTGTCTCCTCCCTGCATCTCCGCAGCATCCGGGAAGATTATAAATACATCCAGTGCGGCGTGCACCCCCAGCAGTCCTCCGTGAGCACCATCGTCAAATCCTACCGCTGGAGGGTCGCCCTGGCCCCACACCCTCAAGACATCATTTGGTAAGCCCCCTCTGCTCCTCCCCTCTCCTTTCAGCTCCTCTGAGACTGAAGAAGGGAACAGGGTGGAAAAGGAATCGGGGCCTGTTCTCCTACTCTGTTGCCCACAGGGCTGGGCCCTGTCCTCTGCTGAGCACCACAGCCTCAGCCTACCCCCAAACCCAGCCCACCACCAGGGCCTTGACAAACGACTTGACTGAGGGGCAGATCCAGGGCCCAGTGCATGCAGGTCTGGGCCCCGGGGGCTGAATTAGACCAGGGCAGCCTGGGTCTCCAGCTGGCATGCAGGAATCTGCACGTGGGCCCCATCCAAGGGCTGAGACCCGAGCTCCTAAATGCCTCCTCCTCCTCCATCCCTCCCCAGGAAACACCTGTCTGTCCGCCGCTTCCATTGGTGGGCCCGCTTTATCGCAATCAACACCTTCCTCTTCTTCTTCTTCTTCTTCCTCACCACGCCCGCCATCATCATCAACACCATCGACATGTACAACGTCACCCGCCCCATTGAGAAGCTGCAGGTGCCGCCTCTGCTTGGGCCAGACGTGGGGGCCCCAGGGAGATGAGGGAAGGATGGGATGGGGGGGGCCCTGGAACACGGCTCCCGTGCACCGCCAACATGTGGCCGTGTGACAGCTCTGTTCTCCCCACTTTCAAGAGCTAGGGGTCCCTCGTTTGAGGGAGAGGGTTGAAGCTGGGGAAGTGTGAGGTCAGTTCCAATGCAGCCATCCGGGAGAAGGAGGACCTCCACCACCCTCACTCCAGACACACCCACTCCAGGCTGGGAGAGCCAGGGCTTGGGGGGCCATCCCTGAGCTTAGAGGCTGCTTCATCCTGACAGGGGCCTGCCGAGGAACTGGACTGGCCCCACCCATTTCCAAATCCTATAGCCTCCAGGCTGTCATAACGGGCCTAGAAGGCCTCCTCTTCCATATTACCTCCATCCCTATCCAGCGACACATGCATGCACATGCATACGCGTGCACACGCACACGTGTGCACACACACGTGCACACGCACACATACTCACACGCACACGCATGCACGTGCACAATGTGCACACGCATGCACAGGCACACATACGCACATGCACACACGCTCATGCACACATACGCACATGCACACAACATGCATGCACGTGCACAGTACACACGCACACATGCACAGGCACACATATGCACATGCACACACGCACGCATACGCACATGCATGCACGTGCACAGTATGCATGCACACATGCAAGGCACACATGTGCACATGCACACATGTATGCACACGCACACATGCAAACGCACATGTACACATGCGTGTGCACAATACGCACACGTATGCACACACATGCACACACATACACACGCACAGTCAAGATGCACCACTTCTGCTGCTTGCTTCTGACCCCCCTTGTCAGCTTCACAGTAGGCTCCAGGGGCACCACAGCTCCCCTAGGGATTCTTCCTTCACACCTGCCCCCTTCTCTAGCACCTTTCATATGACATCACATGAAAGGGAGTGTCTTCTCTCTGAGCTGAGAGATGTCAGTGACAGCAGCTGGCCCTGGCCCGAGGGCGAAGTCCCTTGGGAAAGCCCAGGCTGCCCCTCCGGGGGACCTCAGCATAGAAGACCCGTGCCCCTTGAGGGCACCACTTGACCTTGGGGTGTCAGCCTCTGCCCACCCCAGCCAGGCAGACTGCTAGCCAGCAAGGCTGACCAGGAAGGCCAGGTCCACTGGACAGCCTCAGAGAAACCAAACCTGCTCTGGGATTAAGTGGGGGGAGGAGGGGGAGAGAAGAGGCCAGAGGTGTGGGAGAAGCAGGGTTGGCCTGAGAGGGGAAGGGGTGCTGCTTACACTGATGTCTCTCTACCCTTCCGCTCTCTACCCCCACAGAACCCAGTCATAACCCAGTTCTTCCCCTCCCTGATGCTCTGGGCATTTACAGTGATCATGCCTCTGATTGTCTACCTCTCCGCCTTCCTAGAGGCCCACTGGACCAGGTGAGGGGGGGTCTCCTCCCCCAGCCCTGCTCTTTGCCCCGGCCCCGGCCTCTTCCCCTGCTCACTCCTCCACCAGCCTGGTGCTCGGGGCCTCCCATCCAGCCTGGGGAATCAAATTGACATGGGTTTTGATAACCAAAACCATCCCCAAATCTAAGATATATATATATATATATATATATTTTTTTTTTTTTGAAAGAGGGGACTGAGTTGTCTCTGGGCCTCTGGCCTCAGGAATGCTAAGATGGGGCCACCATCTCAGGCACGTTCAGGCCCAAACCAAGTGCTCCTTGGGCTGCTCCCTCGGCCTCCAGCCACGCACTGAGGGGATGGAGCTGTCAGCAGAGATAGGCAGCTAGGACCTGCAGGCAGGAGGCCTGGGGTGAGGAGGAGAGGAGCCTGTGAACCCAACCTGCCTGTAGACCTGTGTAGCCCATGCAGCACCCACATTTTATTTAAAGATTTTATTTATTTATTTGAGAGGGAGAGAGCATGAGCATGGGGGAGAGCAGAGGCAGAGGGAGAAGCAGGCTCCCCGCTGAGCAGGACTCCATCCCAGGGCCCCGGGATCATGACCGGAGCCAAAGGCAGATGTTTAATGGACTGAGGCACCCAGATGCCCCTGGCACCCAGGTTTTAAAAGATAGGAACTTCAGCCCTAATAGCTGGTTAGCGCTCCTCGTCCTATGGTGGTAGCCAATTGGGTGGAAGGTATTTACCATATCCTGGGGCAGGTGGACCTGCTTTTGCCTAAAGGCTGTGTGGGTCTCAAAAGTGATTTCCTACACCAGAAGTTCCTACCATCTGACCAGGCAGTAAGCCAAGAGGTTTGTCCTAACAGAAACCCTTACTGGTCTTTTCTCTGGCCAAGAACATGGCTTATGTAGATTATTGAAACTCTGCAGGAATCCTGAGCCTCGTTGGTAATGTCCCTCTAACAAAGATAGCAAGCACACAGCACGTGTGTGCCCTTCCGCCCATCCTGTGCCCAAGGCTGACGAGGCTGGCTGAGGCTGCTGCCCCTGCCCTCCCAGCAACCACACAGCTCCCAGTGCTCTGTGAGGGTGGCATTGGTAGGCACTGTCCAACCCTTTTCTAGGCCAGGTCGCTGTCTCTGTCTTCCCATCCATTCTGTAGTTAGGCCTCTGGTTCTTATTACATGTTTGTTTGTTCTCTTCTAGATCAAGCCAGAATCTGATCATCGTGAACAAGTGTTACATCTTTCTGGTGTTCATGGTGATTATTCTGCCCTCAATGGGACTGACCAGGTACCTCCCCTCCAAGTATCCCTCTCTCAGACAGGCTCACCCTAGAGTTGGAACCTCCTTTTTCAGATACTATAGGCCTACCTGTGGTCGCTACAAATCCATTCCTCAAATGACAGTCCAGTGCCGGTCATGAGCCTAGCATGAGCCAGGTATCCTGTGAACCCTAAGGGGTCAGCCATGAACTCTGCCTTCAAAGAGCTTATCATCCAGCTGGGGCAAGAAGCCATGTATATCAGCTAACTGACAGCCCCAGGTGGGAAAAACACAGCCAATGTGCAGTGGAAAATCAGAAGAGGGAGAGAGCACTGTGGGGAAAATGGCTGGCAAAGATTTGCTAGAAGAGGCAGCCTTGAGATGAGAGGCCAAAGGGTTCAGGGCAGGGGTGGCCCAGCATTAAGAAGGCAGAGAGGCAGTGTGGACTGACCAGCTGGAATACTAGAATGCCAGTGCCTCCAGGGATTGAGCCGGGGAGGACAGAGGGAAGCAAGCCAGGCCCAAGAGGGACTGAACCCCAAGCCTCCGTTCCTAGATTCATTAACTAAAGGGCCTACCTTGTTCTTGCTTCTAGTTTGGATGTCTTTTTCCGGTGGCTCTTTGACATCTACTACTTGGAGCAGGCATCCATCAGGTTCCAGTGAGTACTAGAGCATGTGCCCCAGGAGTGCCCTCCGTGTACGCTGGGGCTCCCATGGGTCCATGCCGGGTAGACACGTGTCGCCTTCATTTGCTCACACAGGTAGAGATGAATGCATGCAAAGACTCTCATTAAGCAGACTCTTAACCTTTCCCGGGCCCGGGGCCTATTTGGCAATCTGGCAAAGCCCAGGGATCCCTTCTCTGAATGAAGTTTTGGAAATAATTGTAAATTTACAGGAAATTGCCCCCACACTGTGCTGTGTACCCTTCATCCAGTTCCCCCTCTGGTAACATCTTGCACAACCTATAGTGCCGAATCCCAACCAGGAAATTGACATTATACAATCCACAGAGCTTATTCAGATTCTGCCAGTTTTATGTGCACTCTGAATAGATGTCTTTAAATGCACAACATACCTGGATTACAAAGAAAACCAATTATACTGAAATATTGCTGTCAAAATATTTTAAAAAGTACATTTGTAATAAAATCTTTATTAGCGCATTTAATAAGAGGACGATGCATTTTAAATACAAGCAAGCTAAAGTTATATTTTATTGTTTTAGAGATGTCAGTGTGAACCCTGAGGCTACTTAGCCAGCAGAACATTCAGTTGGGTGGGGCCGAGGGATCTTTGACGAAGCAACATGCGCGTCATGTTGGGCATCCGGCCAATTTTGATTTTGTTTTGGTATTAGGTTTGGTATTAGGTTACAAATGTTAAAAAAAATCCCAATTTTCAAAGATGTAATGTTGCATATGATGTGCAAGCTTTCAAGCTTGCTTTATAGGGCAAGGACCAGGATTCTCTAAGGTTTCTGCAGTTGAACTATAATTGTGATAAGTTGGACTCTTTTTTTCTAAGATGAATGAGTTCATCTTTGGTTAGGTCAGTATCTTCCATACAGTTTACGTATGAGAGAGAAGAGAGTTGTAGGTCCATGCCTCAATGTTGACACCTTCAAGAAAGAATAGTTTTTGAAGGAGTTCTGAACTCCCATCTGTGAGGGAGCTCACAGATTTCTCCTTTCAAAGAAGTTGAAGGAATTGTGTAGATGGGGACAAAGGACAGGCAACAGAGATGCCTGGGTCACCAACGTGAGAACAGGCAGTGTGGCCATTCATTTAGCTGGCTGAATGACTCCTAGCTGAAGCTGGCCAGCTATGTCAAGCACAGACCTGCGGACAGGAACATTTCGATCACGTAAAGTCCGCTCGTCTAATTTGGCTGCATGTTTAATAACTACCTTCATTTTGAAGTGATGGTGAGTGCAAAGGTATTGTCAGATATCACCACCAACTGCAGTGGGCTATGAAAATATCTTTAAGATTTTATTTATTTATTTGAGAGAGAGAGAGATAGCGAGAGAGAGCCGGAGCAGTGGGGAGAGGGAGAAGCAGGCTCCCCACTGAGCAGGGAGCCTGATGTGGGGCTCGATCCCAGGACCCTGGGATCATGATCTGAGCCGAAGGCAGACGCTTAACCAACTGACCCACCCAGGCGCCCCAAGAAAATATCTGACTGCAGCTGGTGACTGGGTCATAGCCATAGCTGACGTTGCTGTGATTTGTTGCCCACGTTCTTAATGGAAAGAAGTGGTACATTGCAGTTAGAGGCTCATGAATGTCAAGACACATGTCTCCTTCATTTGCTCACATTCAAGGTCAACAGAGCCCCCCAAGCTTCTCCCCATGGACTCTCTGGGGTCTGTGGGTCCTGTTCAAGCACCCCTGCTTTAGATCAAGCCAGAGAGTGTATTTCCCAACACACCCACACTTGATGTAGACCAGCCCCATTCCTGCTCAGAAGGGTGTGCATTAACCTAAATTGGGCTGGGGGCACATGTGCATCTGAAGCTTACTCTCCCCATCTCCACCCTCGTCCTCCACACCCCCATCTCCACGCCCACCCTACACCCCCCTCCCCATCTCTGCCCCCCCCCCCCCCCCCCCCCCCTCCCGTTTCCATCCCCATTTCCACCCCTCTCCCAACGTCCCGGCCTTTTCCTTCTCCCTCTGGCTTCTGTGCTGTCTTCCACTGTCCACACGGCCAGGTGTGTGTTCCTGCCGGACAATGGCGCCTTCTTCGTCAACTATGTGATCACGGCGGCTTTGCTGGGCACGGGCATGGAGCTGTTGCGCCTGGGGTCCCTCTTCCTGTATAGCACCCGCCTCTTCTTCTCCAGGTCGGAGCCCGAGAGAGTCCACATCAGAAAGGTGGGGGCCGGGCCCTTCCCTGCGCACAGCCCTTCCCTTTGTGGGGGGGGGGGTGTCAGGAAGGGAGCTTGCTAGGGGCATGAGGAAGCCGAGGTGAGCTGCGAGGTGGGCTGGGGGTGGCAGGGAGCCCGCCTCCAGGCCTGAGCTGCCAGGCAGCTCCCCGGGGATAGACAAAGAGCCACAGACGGAGCCGAGCCAAGGGGACCAGGCCACCTCAAGTGACCCCCACCTTCCGCCCCAGAGCCAGGCCATGGACTTCCAGTATGGGCGCGAGTATGCGTGGATGATGAATGTGTTCAGCGTGGTGATAGCATACAGCATCACCTGCCCTATCATTGTCCCTTTCGGTGAGTCTTCCCTCGGGCACCCCCAGGGCTGCGCACCCTCAGGCCGGGAGGAGGGGTTGAGCCCCCCACCCTCAGAGTATGAGGAGGCCGGGCAGGGACAGACTGTCAGCAGAGCAGGGAGGGGCCGGTGCAGGTCAGGGGAGGTTGGATGGCTGTTCACACGGGATGTTTGTTGAGGGAATGACCCTTCACCCAACTGGCAGAACAGACTCTGGGGGATCAAGGGAAACTGGGGTCCCGGCAGTCAGCGCCACAGGGCTCCCACGGCCCGACCTTGGCCCTCGCTGCCCGGAAAGACCTGAATCTGGCTTCTGCGGCCTGGGGGGGCCTGGCTGTGGAAGCAGCCCCTGAGTGTGTGGCGCCCACCCCCCTGCCCCCGGCCCCGCAGGGCTACTCTACCTGTGCATGAAGCACATCACCGACCGTTACAACATGTACTACTCCTACGCGCCCACCAAGCTCAACGAGCAGATCCACATGGCCGCGGTCTACCAGGCCATTTTCGCACCGCTCCTGGGTCTGTTCTGGATGCTCTTCTTCTCCATCCTGCGATTAGGTAGGTCCCAGGCGTGCCTGGCCTTCCTGCCCCTGCCTACTCCCCACTGCTGCCTACAGCCCTCAACAGCACCTCTGCTCCGTGCAAGCAGAGAAGGCCTGGGAGGAGCGAGGGCTGCTCACAGATTGCAGCAACCCAGGTGGCTTCTTGAGGCCTCAGTTAGGGCTCGCACCAGAGTCCCAGCAGACCTCTGAAGCTAAGGGGAGGGCTTGGACCAACACGGTACGGTATGCACTTTGGTTTACGACCCTCAGAGCCAGAAACGTCACATTCCTTCATTCTAACTCAAGGCTGGCAGGAATAAATATTAGCTATTGGGCTTAATTCCCGTGACATCCCCCTTGGGATCCTAGGGATGCCTGGTCTTCCAGATTGCCTAAAAACTGGAGGAGGCTTCGGGGCCTGCCCCAGGGGCCAGCTTTTCCCCTGCTCTTGGCTACACAGAGCTGCTTTCCCTGTCCCTGTGGACCACATGCGAGCCATCCCCTCTGAGGCAGGAAGCTTGCACTGACCTGTGCATCCTCTCTGCCACCGGACGGCTTCCTGCCTTCTCCCCACACTGGTCTTCCCTCAGGGACCCTGGACCTACATCATCTCAGTGGCCTGGAGAAAGGAAACTGTATTTTCTTACTGTCTTGTCCCAGCGGCCACTGGAAACAGCTCTGCTCCCAGTTACTTCTGTGCGTCACCCATCTGTCAGCCATCTCCCCATTTCTTACCCCCCCGCCTTTCCCTGCCACCTAGAGGACTTCATTTATTAAAAATAATTTTTCTCCAAAGTATAAAACACTATACATTTATTTTCAAGATCTGAATGCCCTGTCCTCTCCCCTGGAGCCTGTCTTTTGCGCTCAGACCTCATTCTGTGTGCACAGTCCGGGGGAGAGGGCAGAGCAGGAGGGGCTTATTGGTTTATTCTTGCTTTTCCCGAAATCATGATTTCCATTTCATAATGTTCAGTCCCGTATCCTGAGTTTTTTAACCCAACATAGCATTCTGAGCAATTTCCTGTGTTACTGAAATACTGTTTGAGCACAGGCCTTTGAATTAATTCTACCCATTTCTGTCAGCTCTCCATGGCTGGATACCAAAGCTGTTGGCCATTTTTGCTTTTATAGGAACACAATGACCAGCATCATTGTGGGTTAGCCTCTGACTATAAAGATTGATTTTTTTCTTAAAAAAGATTTTATTTATTTATTTGAATGAGAGAGATCACAAGCGGGGGGGAAGGGTAGAGGGAGAAGCAGTCTCCCTGCGGAGCTGGGAGCCCGATGCGGGGCTCGATCCCAGGACCCTGGGATCATGACCTGAGCTGAAGGCAGATACTTAACTGACTGAGCCACCCAGGCGCCCTGTAAAGATTGATTTTTAATCTTTACCTCAGTAGAAAACTGGTGTCATAAAAAAGTTACCAAATATATCCCCGAGCGAAATGTACCTGACCTGAATTCCGGCTGGCTCTCCAGGGCCATTAGCACAGGTGAGGGCCGGCACGGGAGCTTGCAGGGACGGGTGTGGGTCAGAGACTGTATTTGGGGGCTATATTTGGGGCCACTGCATGAGTGAGTAACCTGGAGCTACTGCCCCACGACTGTGATGTGGGATGGAAACTGACGGGTCGAGAAGGACATGCCTCATGGGCACTTGAGTGGATACTTAAAGGCAATTAAATTTTTTCATATCCATAAGATGCCAAATTCCAAACTGGTCCCAGAGCACTGAGGGATGATGTCATGGGCCAGGTGCGTTGACTCCAGTTGCTAGGGGGAGAACTGGGGCAGAGGCCTCTCTGCCTTGGACTCGAAGCCCCCACAGAGGGGCTGAGGACCCCAAGGACCCCACATCTCGGCTGGCAGACTCCTGCCCACAGCTCCGGTCCTCGAGCACCAAACCCCACGGCCTGTTCTTCTTGGCAGGTACGCTGCACACCATCACCTTCTTCTCCCTTTCCACGCTCATCATTTCCATGGTCATTGCCTTCGTTAGCACTCTTCTGGGGAAGCTCCAGGGGGTATCTGACTATGAGGTGAGTTACCCTTCCTTTCCTCCGTTCGTTCTCACTGGCCCCCGGGCCACGGCTCTAGGCTACCTCCCAGCCTGCGTACCCACGGTGCCACAGAGATGAAAGGTTCTTGCCTTTCCGATGATGGGGTGTGCAAACTCAGGGTGCGTGTGTGTGTGCCCTTGCGTGGCCCAGGCACCGGCCCCCTTGAGTGGTGGGGAGATTTAAAAGTCAGCTGTCCCCTTCTCCTCTCCCCTCTGGCACCTCCTCCAAACAGCAGACTGCTGGCCCATCCCTCCCTCCGACAGCGCGAGCCTGTCCAGCCACCGAGCTGGGAGCACCAGTCCAAGGAAGGAGGCTTGAGAGAGAGAAGATGGGGTGAAGGGCGGAAGGGTGGGTGCAGAGAAGGATGATGCCCTGGGGGAGGGGGTTAGTTATCATACTTTTTAGCAATCCCAGTCTGTTGAACTTGAGGCCAGGCTCTCTGGGCCCTGTGACTCCTTGGGCTCTTTGCCAGTGGAGCCCAGCCTCGTCGTTAGAGAAGGGAGCCAGTCCCTGCCTGCTGAGACCCAGGCCAGCAATGCTGTGTGACCTCCGTGGGCATCTCCCAAAGCGGCGCATCTGTGCGGACATGCTAGAATGATTTCCGGGAACGGAAACATTTTTTTTTCGTGGTTACCCATTTTTCTATTGGTTCACATTCATTTATGTTTCTGCTTATGTCAACGAATGCAGATGTTCTGTCTCTAATAGTAAATTGTGTCCTTTTTAAATGACTGTATATAAAGAAAAGGAAGGAAGTTAATTCAAAGTTCTGGTATCCTGCTGAGCCAAAGGAGGGAGCCTCTTGGAAGAGGACCTTTTACTTTCAGTGGCGCTGCATCTGGGGGCCCCGGGCTTAGGCCCCCACTGCACTCTCTGCCCGGCCCGTCCTCCATCCCTGGCTCGAGTGCCATGAGGAACCAAAGTGGACAATGCCTCTGGCTCTGTCTTCCCAATCTAATAGTGCCATGCAACCTGGTGGCCCAGGTGTCCACTCCAGAGAAAGGAGATGGCAGGGGACCTAAACCATGATGTTGGACTGGTCTCAGAGGGAAGGAGAACCCCCAGGGGGAAAGAAGAGGCAGTTGAAGTCACGCCTTTACGAGGGTCCGAGCAGGCTCGTATTTGAATCCCAATCCCAACTCTACTTACTTTCCCCCCATTATGGTTCTTGGGGATGGACCATTCAGAAGGGCCACCAGCATCCTGGTCCTCTTCCTGTCCCCCTGGGCTCCAGCCCGGGGCTACAGGCCTGGGAAAAGAGAAGATGGCGTCGAGCACCGGGTGCAGGTTTGGGGAGGGAGGGAGCAGAGGGTGGACACCCCCATTCTGTGACCCTCTACATCTCTGCCCACTGCTGCAGCCCGAGGAGGAGATGGAGACCGTGTTCGACATGGAGCCCAGCAGCACCTCCTCCACGCCCACCTCCCTTGTGAGTCACTGCCTTCACCCCGGGGGACAGGTCAGGGGGGGGGACCTGCAGGGGTGGGCTTCTTCAGCAGCAGTGTGGGGGGGCACTGGCATGTAGTGCCCACCTCGGGGACTGGGGAGGAGACGGGCGCCCCGGGGCTCCCTCGCCTGACCCAGCAGGACTTGGCCCAGGTCAAATTGCTGCCGTGGCCGTGGCTGAAGAGATGGGAAGATGGAAGAGGCAGGACATACTCTAAAAGGAACTCAAAGAGGAAGAGAAAGGTCAGGGCAGGCCCAGCCACAGCGAGATCAGTCGTGTAGACACAGGGACGTGCCGGGACTCGGCCTCGGGCCTGAAGGCTGCCTCCAAGGGCACAGCTGCCAGGCAGAGCGGCGCACACAGAGCTGCAGGGAACTATTGGAGGTCTGCCCCGAATGGTAAGGCAACGGCAGCAGCATGAGTGAGCCCACCAGCTCGTGAAGAGACAGGCCAAGTCAGAATGCAGGGGCCCAGTTGGCTCCCTCCCTGTGGCTCAGCCTGGAGGGGCACGAGTGCTCACCCACATCCCTGCCACCAGTGTGGATGCAGGGCCACCGATGCCTGCCCTGAGCTGGGTGCCCCGATGCCAGGGCGCCTTGGAGGAGCACTGAAGAAGGGCACCAGCCAGCCTGGGCACTCAGGGAAGGCTTCCCGGAGGAGGGAACATCTAATCCGACTCTAGGAATGGGAGTAGGAGTTGCTAGGTGGAATAGGATGTGGGGGAAGAGCATTCGAGGAGGAGGATCAGCCTGTGCAAAGGCCCGGAAGAGAGACTCTGGAGCGTTTGGGCACTGGAAGACAGCTCTTGACGTGGTGGAAATGCAGAGTGGGCAGCAGGGCCCTGGGGGGGAGGTGGGGGAGACGGGGCTCTTTGGTTGCCACAGAGTTGGGGAAAAGTGTACAGACACAACAGTGGGGGACATGCCCACCCCCAGTGCACAGAGCTGCAGGTCCTCCTCACCTTGGGAAAAAACCCTACAGAGAGGGGCAGATCTCTGGGAAGTGGTGGGGAGAAGGGACGTTGGTTTTGGAGAGTCTACAAAGCTTTCAAAGCAGGGGCCTCTTCTCACGTAGCCATCTCTCCCCGGGGGCCCTCACAAGATGACCCCTCTGGGATCCCCTTAGGAACCTGACACTTTGCCATTCTCACTCCTAATCTTTATGATATGATACACCCACACAGTAGAGGGTCTTTATCCTTATTTTACAAATAGGGAAACTGAGGCTCAAAACGGTCAATTAATTTAGGCCCCAGGGCATTACTGAGCAAGGCAGAGGAAGAACAAAGTTTGAACCAGGTCTGTCGATTTCTGAAGCCTGAGCTTAAAAAAAAAAAAAAATCATTGGAATTGATTTTCTTAATCTTTCATGATAACCACAGTAGTATATGAACATTGTAGGTAATTATGGGGAAAAAACAAGAAAATAAAAAGTTCATATTCCCATGACCCAGAGAAGACTACTGATAACTTAGTGTCTATTCTCCCAGGCATATATATATAATTTTTGCTAAAATGAAATGATACTGTTCATACTGTTTTATAATCTGCATTTTAGTTAATAATCTCCACCTTTCCATGTACATAAATTTCTATGTCTTCAAATACTCAAGTCATCCTAAGTGTTCCAGAAATATCTTTCTCAAAGCATATCCAAGCCAAGATCCAGTCCAGGCTCTGTGCTAGATGAATCCAGTCCCTGCATATGTCTCTTGTAGTTTCTCACAGTCTCTTCTTTATGGCCTGTGAGAGAGACCCAGCCAGTGGTCCTGCAGAATTTCCCACCTTCTGGGTTTTCCTGGCTATTTCTTCATGATGTCTTACAGCAGGTTCCACTATCTCCTGTATTCCCTGAAAACTAGAAGCTCAGTCCAAAGGCTTGGAGAGATTCCGATTCAGCCCTAGGGGCTAAAACGCATGGCAGGCAGTGCCGTGCATACACCAGGAGACAACAGACTATCCCATTTTTTTCCCACTAAGGATGCTGGTTACTCCCAGATGAGGGGGATGACAGCAGCCTCTTCTGTTGTTCATTTACCATTCTGCCCCTTAGGACCAGAAGGTTTATATGGGGTTTACTTTGGAATGCTACAAATATCTAGATTCTTCTGTAGGAAAAGTGTTCCCTCATCAACCAGGGCTCTTTGGTTTCACTGACATGAATTCCTAGAGGAAGGATTTAATTCTATTCCATAATTACCTATTTTCAAAATAAGGAGTTGGTTTAAAAGCCATTCAAATGATGACAAACAGCTTTGTCCCTAGTACTTCCTGTTTTTCTATTCCACTGCCCTCCCAGGCATTCCCGGGACCATTCCTGCATTGGACAGGTCACATGGCCAGGACCTCGGGAGCAATCTCCGTTTCAAATCCTGATTCACAGGCCAGCCGATATCATACCCCAGGGGAGGTGTGGATGCAGCTCCCGCTGTATTAAGAAGGGCACTAGCTCAGGGATGGAGGTCTCTCCAGACCCCAGCATAGGGGAGCCTCGTGTCGTCTCCCCGCCGGGTTCAGCCTGACCTGGCACCAAGAATGAATGGAACCTTAGTGAAGGAGCAGTGGGCTAGGGGCTAGAAGGCCTGCACTGACTCACCCTCAGAGTCGGAGTTGCTCTTTGAATGATCAACAACACCTCAGCAGGTGGTTCGGCCAGGCCCTGGGCTGCTGGGAGAGAAGGAAGTATCCGTGGCTCGAGAGGGGCAGAGGCCCCGGGGGTAGGGCATGAGTGCAAGGGTGTGCCCAGGGCCCAACCCCAGGTGTGACCTCACCCCCGTCTCCGCTCTCTGTCCCAAGCAGATGTACGTGGCCACTGTGCTGCAGGAGCCAGAGATGAACCTGTCCCCCGCCTCCTCCCCCGCTCGGCACACTTACGGCACCATAAACAGACAGCCGGAGGAGGGAGAAGAGGAGAATGGCGTGAGGGGCTTTGCACAGGAGCTGGGCTCCGCCCAGTTCCAGGAAGGGCTGGAACTGGAGGGCCAGAGCCAGTACCACTGACCAGGACCGGAGGCCTCCACCTGGTGACTCCACGGGACCGGCGGCCAGGGGAGGGCCCAGCAGGGGGAGGCGGGAGGGCCATCCGGACCTCCCCACTGCCTCCTGCAGACTTTGGGAAGGCCCCAACGGAGACATCTGCACCCCGGCTGTTGGCCACATGGAGGCCCCGCCCTGCTGACCAGCTCGAATGGGAGGTGCTGGGCAGTGCAGAGGGACCCGGATGGGATGGAGGCTACAGGCGGGCACCACATCTCGGGAAAGGTGGCTGAAGCGCTGGGCACAGAGACTGCAGGCTGAGGGACCTTCCTGGGGTCAGAGTGGAGAAGATGTGCGTAGAGGAGGGGGCAGAAAGACGCCCACTGAAGACTCTCCAGGGTCTCTGCCACCCTTTTACCAGCTGCCCTGCCAAGGAGCTTCCACAGCTGCCCCGCCCCCGGTCCCCAGCCCGACTCTGATCCCGCCCCTGCGGTCTGAGGAAGCACAGGTGTGTGTGCTGGGCCTGATCAAGCACATCCCCTGCGAGGGGATCACCCAGAGCAAGGAGCAGCTGAGACCCTTCCTAGTCCTCTGCCCCTCGGCGGATATCCCTGGGAGCAGCAGGGTGGAGACCTTCTCCTTCCTATTCGTGCAAGGGCAGCTGGGACACGATCCCTCGGGGCTCATTAAACGGGACCTGTGTGCATTTTGATGAAGACAACCTTGGCTGGTTACTACAAGGTGGGAGGGGCAGAGGCAGAATTCATGGAGAGGGGTCTTCTCCCCAGATGCTGGGGGATGGGAAACCAGATACAGCTCCCCAAGCCCCAGGCCTTAATGAGAAGACCCTCAAGGTCAAGGATGTGGCCACTGAAAGTTGTTCCTGCCTCACACCCACCTGAGTGCCTGGGCCCCCAGCATAACCAAGGTGGGCAGCAGCTTAGGGTAAGAAGCCAAAGGCATGGGCCATTCCCTGGCCTCCCGAGCAGGACCCTTCCTGTCTTGGGGCCACCTGCACCCTGCACTGAAGACCACTCAAGTGGCCTCCAGTATGGTCCTGGCCCAGACACTGCAGACACCCTGCCGGGCATGCGGTGGGGGTGGGGGCTGTGTCCTCCACAGAGAAGCCTTTTCTGGTGGAGTAAGGCCGCCTTCCCAGGGCTGCCACTACTCAAGAACTGCAGGAACCGAATCCTGAGTAGGAACAATGCTGGTGACACCCAGCACCTTTGCCATAGTCAGAAGGGTACAGACCTTTGCCTCTGAGGACAGGCCCCCATCAGGACCACCCTGCTGCACAGCAGGGGAGGACACAGAAAAGGGCTGGCTGAGGCCTCAGTGGACCAGAAGGAGCCAAGTCAAAAGGGGTCTGCGTGCTCTAGACCTCTCCTGAGCTCCCTCCTCCAAGGGTCTGTGTCCCTGCAGCCCACCTGCAGGAAGTCGGCCCCACGCTCACCTCACCTGAGCCTTTCCTACCAGGTCCCAGGCATATGGGTGCCCCTGAACTCAGACCACCTGGGGCTCACCCCTGCTCCACCTGTGCCCACATCTCAGCTGCAGAAGCTCCAGGCTTCACTTCGAAATAGCGCCCAAGAGGCAAACATTGCCATAGCCCCAGGGCTTGGCCCAGACCTTGGTGTGAGGGATCTTTCCAGAGAGCTTGAGTCAGCTCAGGAGGTGGCAGTTTCTCCCACTCCTTGTCCAGCTAGGAAGGAAATTATACCCAGCCTCATGATCCCAGGCCCCTCCTAGCATTTCACCAGCCAACAAAGAGAAGGGTCCTTTCCAGAGCAGTGGTCCGGGCGGGCCCCAACAGGGAGCTCTGCCCATGCCATGAGGAGGTGGCCAGCTCCGGGCCCTCCCCGGCCCCCAGAAGGTATGTTTGGTGTGCGTGTGGCTTTCCTACCAGAAGCTGGCCTGCAGGCTCTCCTTCACTGGGCACTACTTGCTGGCGCCTGCCCCCCATCCCCGCAGCCCCTGCTGGACTATTCCTGCCGCTTCTGCCACTGTCCCTCCTCTGTCCCCTGCCCACCCAGCAGCCTCTGGACGCTGCATGTGGAAAGGGTCCCAACAGATTACATGGCAGCATGGCTGGGGGCTTGCCCCTCTGCATGTGGGCCAAGTGCAGTTGGTTCTGAGAGAAGACCGTGCGAATGTTGGGAAAGTTCCAGAATCCTTTCACTTCTCAACTCTTTTTGGAGACACCCTCCCCTGCTCTCCCAGCTGCTCAACCTTCATGGTCACTGTGAAGGCAGGGTGGGCATGCTTTGGCTCCTTCCACGCCACATCGAGGCCCCCTCTCCCAGCACCTCCCCTCGGGCCTGCCCTCTCAGCCCACACTTGGCTCACCCACTGGCCTCCACCCACCACCGTCTGACCCCATCCCCCAGCCCACCTCCCAGCTGTCCTTCCCCAGCCTTCCACCGAAGCACAGCCTTTCAGACTTGATTCTTTCTGGAGGGGGCTGCCTCTGAGGGAACCCAGGATTGCCTAGAGCCTCTAAGAAGCGCCCCCACTGGGTCAAGAGTACCTCCATGCCTGCCTGCCTCTTCCTCAGATGCTTCCGGAAGCAAAGTGCCTATCAGCAGCATTGCATCCTCTGGGGCCCCCCGGCGTGGGGTGTGGACTTCCCTTGGCCACCACCACTAAAGGAATGTGCCAGAATGCCGAACCTTCTTGTTATTAATGCTATGACTGTGCCTTGAATAAACAAGTCCTCCCAACCTCTGCTGGCTTGTGCCTCTGCATCTGGACCGGCCCAGCAGGGTCTCCCCCTCCTGGAAGGAGCCAGAGCTGCTCAGGGATGGACCTCCCTGAGGTTGCCAGGCTGGAGCATCAGACCTTGCTTCATGCCTTTAGTCCCCGAGGCCTTCCCAGGCCCCTGTCCTCGAGGGGGAAGGCCCGACAAGCGCTGCCCAGTCTGCTGGAGGGACAGGGGGGATCTGCCTCACTCATTCTGCTGCGGGTGCCCTCAGAGCCGCCTGGGCGGGAGCAGAGGACTCCCCGGTCCGGGAGCCACCCATGGAGTCGCTGAGCAGCCTCCCCGGGCAGCAGAAGCCCCAGGGTGAGTGCTGGCCCCCCTGAGTGGGCCGTTGGCTAGAAGAGCTGCTGGGCCTGAAAAGATGAAGATTTCAGGGGGAGGCCACCAGAACAAGTAGCAGACAGGGCTCAGGTCTGCGCCGGCCTTGGGAGGCAGCACGAGGGCAGGGGGGAGGTGGGCCTTGGGCCGGAGGGGCTGCCAGGTCAGGCCTGAGTTGGGTACGGAACACCCTCTCACAAAGGCTAGTTACATCTGTTGTTGTTCTCGAAGTTGGGGGAAAATTCGCTGCTTGTGGGCGGGGAGGTGTCCTGGCCTAGGAGACCGAAGTTCCGGCCTTCCTGCAGCAGCTCCATGCCCCTAGGCCAGTCCCGAAACCAGGGGTAGAAGGACAGCTGCTCTGTCTTACTACTGAGCGGAGCAGACTCAGCCGGGGGACAGAGGGAGCGAGGCCGCAGGGGGAGGCCTCCCCTCACCTTTCCCTGGGAAGACAGGACGGTCTCGGGGTGGGCTGATGGCTGCTATCGGGCCAGGGACCTTTTCCTGGGATCTTCAAAGCCTTGCCACAACAGCTGCCTCTCAGGCTCTCCTCGACAGCCTCCAGCATCCCCCAGATCACAGGCCCTGGGCCATTCCTTGGTTCAGCGGACATTTCAGGGGCTTTGCTCAGGGAAAGACAGACAAAGAAGCTGCGGAGGGTGGGCTCTAGCCCCAGCCACGTCAAGTCCGAAAAGGAGGGTGGGGTTGGTCCTTCTGCTCTGTATCAGCAGGCCAACAGGACTGGAGGCCTAGAAGGTCCATAGAGCGGGGCTGGCACAGGCCAAGAGGGAGGCCCAGGTCCCCGATCGGACAGGGCTGTGCCCACCGGGGCACCAGAGCCCGACAGCACTCTGGGCCGCGCTTTGCAGGATTGCGGAGGAAGTAGGAGGGCACTGGGCTCTGGGAGGCTCTGCCTGGAGGCCAAACTTCGGGGTGGTCTCGGGCTCCTCCAGGGCTGGCTCCCCACAAGCTAATCTCGTTGTCGTCATGCTGGGAGCTCAGGTCTGTCCTGAACACTCCGAGCTGACCAGAGCCGGGTTCCTGAGTCGGCTCTGGGGCAGGCCCCGGGGGAGCTGGGGGAGCTGGTTTACAGGACGGCCCCTGGGCCCAGACAGTCCGGCAGATCTCCAGCTGCAGACGCTGTAGTTCTCCATCCTGGCTGCAGGTGAGAGTCTCCTGGGAGATTTTAAACAATCCCAGGATCCACGCCCCATCCCCAAACAACCCAAAATTTCTGGGGTGGGGCCCAGGCATCCCTATTTTACAAAAGCCCCCCAGGTGACTCTAGTGTCCGGGAGGGTTGAGAGGGCAAGGTGCCTATGGACGAGGAAAACAATCACAGCCTGACATCCCCCCAGAAGAGGGGGAGCTGGTCTTGGCACCTCACGCTGTGTCTCACCTTGGGGAGTATAGGCCTGCAGCCCGTACCTAAGTCCAAAGCCACAGGCTGGCAAGGCCTCCAGGGAGCTCAAATGTCAGGTGCGGGTAGGTCATCAGCAGCCTCAAACGTTTGTCTTCTGTCTCCGAAGCGATTAATACCTAGCGCTGGCACAACTTCCATTATAATCATCTTACTTTATAATGAGGACTGCTGTTTGGGCTGGAGAGATGCACACGGGCCCTCAAGGATCACTTCTGGCTACCATGTCCCCATCAGCAAGCCCGAAGAATCACTGCTGCTCTTCCCTCTGAACACAGAGCCCAAAGTGGCTTTCACGGCAGCCTTCTCATTGGGGTTGCAAGAGATTGTAAGTGCAATAAGCCAACGTACATGGCAGATGTCAGCAGGGTCAAGTGCTTTGAAGAAGGGTGAGGAATGACTGCAGATGGGGAGGATCTGGAAGGAGCTGTTCTGTGGATGAGACATGGGGGCGCGTATGGGCTGCATGGAGGGGCTGCAGGGCAGATCTGGAGGGAATAAATACAGGATCCCGTGCAGGGGGGCGGCTGGAGCGTGCAGCAGTGTGAGGCCGTCTGGGAGGGCAGCAGGACCCTGGGCTTTACTCCAGCGACATGGAGGCTACTGGAGGATTCGGAATGGGGGAGAGATGTGATCACCTTAGGCTCCGAGGCGATGGCTGCAGCCTCTGGGTGGGGACAAGGTGGAGGAGAAATCCCGTCAGGGCTCTGCTGGGGGCATCCAGTGAGAGGCCATGGTAGCTCAGACAAGAATGGGGCAGGGAATGAGGAGAGGGATGGAGAAGTTCGGAACAGGTCTGAGGACTCATGGACAGATTAGATGGGGCATCTGAGAGAAAGCAAGGAAGTGTGGATGGCTCCCGGTTCTTCTGTCTGAATAGCTGGGTAAACTGGTTTACCAAGGCAGAGGATGCTGGAAGGAGCAGTTCGGGGAAGATACCAGGCTCTACTTTGGTGGTGTTACACTTGAAATGCCTAGTAAGGACGTTGGGCAGGGGGCTGGATACGAGTCTGGAGTGGGGGGGCGTTAGGCTGGAGAGGAGACCTGGAGTCATCAGCATCTGGGGTGTTTAAATCACGGGACCAGCTGGGACCTGCGCAGGAGGCCAGAGGAGGTCCAGGGGAAATGGGAGGGGAATCTGCAGGGAGAACGAGGAACGAGCATTGAGGAAGGAGGAAAACCAGGAGTCCCTGGCGTCTGCAATCCAAGGGAAGAGGACTCAGAAAGCAAGCAGGCAGCTCCCAGGGCTAAGCACACTTGACAGTGATAACAGGGCACAGAGGAGTGAGTTCAAAGACGCTCCGAGAAAGCATCAGCCAAGTCAGAATGCTGGAGATGCCACTGGACAAGTGAACTGGTTTCTCCCACAAATCAAAAGCCTGGGACAGGGGCGGGCTGAGAATGAGAAGGTTAAGAGACCCAACCAGAAGCAATGTGTGGTCCTTGACTGAATGAACCACCTGCAAAAGACATCGGGGGACCTGGAAGAAGCCCAAGCATTAGGCGATGCTGAGAGACACTGCTCATCTTGGCAGGTATGTTGACGGCGTGGATTAAGGGGGAAAAGGTATCAGCCACATGTTCCCAAGGAAGACTACAGGTGAAAGAGCACAACGACGTCTTAGATTCAGTTTTAAAACTCTCCAGCAGGGGCGCCTGGCTGGCCCGGTTGTGAACCGTCCGCCTTGGCTCCGGTCATGATCCCGGGGTCCTGGAGCCTGCTTCACCCTCTCCCTCTGCCTCTCCCCCCATAACGAGGCTCCAGCTGGGAGCTAGGGAGGCCCTGGTGGCACCAGCAACATTGGTCTTGGCTGAGAAAACCGAAGGCTCGGGGCAAGGGCAGGGGGCCGGGTATAAGCATTCACAGCCCGGCTCTAGGGCCCCACAAGCCTGTTCACGCGAGGCCCACTCTTGATGCTGCTGCTCGTCCCCACGTCCCTGGCTGGGTCTCCACCCCCATCTGCCCGATCCTCCTGACCACACACACACACTCACACACACTCACACATGCTCATACTTGCTCTTCAACTCCAGTGTACACCCCAGGTAAACCCATTTAATCTCCTTAAAAAAGCCCACTCTGGGATTGGCACCTGCCCATCCAGGGAGGTTCGAGAAGCTTTCCTCAGAGACCTATGACTCTTTGGTGCCTCTTCCTGCTGTCCTGGCACCTGGCCCACTCCTCTCCCTGGCCTCACCTTGTCCCCCAGGAGGTGGGCTCCCAGACTCCTCACCAGTGAACTGCTTCAGCCCGTGGATTAGTGTGGGTGTGTGTTGTAACAAAACAACCCCAAATGTATAATGACACAAACACAATAGAAGTTTGTGTCTCTTTCCTATAAAATTCAAAATGGGTGAGTCCTCATTCCACAGGCTGGAGAAGTTCCTGGGTCCTTCCAGGCACTTCTGATTAGTGGGTGCTCTCCTCCAAGCAGCAATTCATGGACCCAGCCTCCTTCTACCTTGTGGCTCTGCCACCTTCAACACACGGCCCTCCTCAATGTCACTGTAAGATCTGTGTCAGGCTAGTGGACGGATGACAGAGCACAGAGGAGCATGCAGGAGTTTTAGGGGGTCAGGTCTAGAAGTGGCGCACATGTCCACGCATTCCATTGGCCAGAACTCGGTCACATGCCCCACCTAATTGCAAAGGAGGCTGGGAAATGTAGTCTGGCTGTGTGCCCAAGAGAAAGAAGAACTGAGTTTGGTGCCCTGCTGCCAGCCAGTTTCCATTACAGACCCCTAGCTCCATCTCCACCACCGGCTTCTGGCCTTCTCCGAGCCTCTCCTTTCTTTTATACCCACCCTGGCCTTGGCCCTCCTGACCCCATCCTCCCACCCTGCCCTAAGTCCCCTGCCCTGCAGCTTCATCTGGCCACAAGCCAACACCCAGGAAAGGACCAGTCCCAGCAGGTCAGAGAGGCACACAGAACAGGTTTATTCCTCATGAGTTTATACAACCACGGCAGGGAGCAGAAGGTAAAAGTGCAGACAGCTCAGGGCGAGGGTGGAGGGCCTCCCCTGCCACACTCTCTTCTCTCCAGCAGCCTACATCCAGGCACACACCAGGTATTGAACGTGGGGAGCTGTGGCCCCACAGTCCACGTGAGCAGCGGCAGAAAGGAGGCTGGGGGGAGATAAGCCCAGCCCTGCAGGAGGGGTGGTGAAGAACAGCCACCGGAACTCAGGCCTCTCTGGAATGAAATCACGCCCCCTTCCTTGCGCTCCCCCGCCCGCGCCCCCCGCCCCCAGCTGGCTAGCCGGTTCCTGCAGAGAGTGGTACTAGTGGTACTAAAGGAGCTCCGAGCAGCAGCCTGAATGGGGGAACAGGAACAGGACACGGCAAAAGAAAAACTACGCTGGCAGGCGCATCTGAGACCCAGATGAGGTCCGCTCTCCCGTCCTCAGCGTCTCCCTTGATTATCTGCTCCCACTACCTGGGATTCCACCCTGAAGGCTAACAAAGTCCCTCCTCTTTACTTGTGAAAGGCAGATGCCCCTGGGAGAGAAAAGCATGGAAAGCAGGCGAAATGGGAAGGTGCCCGAAGCTCTGCCTCCCACTCCCCTGGTTGGCCCGGGCCCACCTGACGAGGGTAGGTGACAAGCACCCATGCTCTCAGAGCTCTCCACCTTCCCAGCGCCATGCCACCTCTGTGGCCACACACTGCCCCTGTCCTAGCACAGGAGGGATGCCAGAGGGAAGAGATGGCAGGCAGGGGAGAGGCTACTAGGGGTCGGGGAAATCCAGAATTTCCTTCCTTCCTGAAGGAAAAGCCACCCCCGTCTCACTTGGAGGTGAGGGGGACGGAGACCCAGTCCTGCTCTATCACCTCTCCCGGACAGCCAAGGGGACAAGGACCAAGATGCAGGGAGGCCTAAGGGAGCCTGGGCTACCACAGACACAGAGCAACAGACAGACACAGACCGATGGGGGCCGCCAGCTGGAGGCTGCCGGGCAGGGGCCGCCTCTTACTTGCCATCCCAGCCTCGACTCATGGCCTGTACCACGGCCCCATAGAGTTGGCTCCAGGCGGCCCGCACGGCTGGTGTGAACGCGGGGCCCAGGCACTTCTCCAGCATGTAGAGCAGGGACTCACCCACCGTCTGTAGAGGCAAGTGGCACCTTGTCATTCCTGAAGGCGGGAAGGCATCGCTCCATTCCACAGGTGAGAAAACTCAGGCCCGGACCTTTCTTCTCTCCTGCACAGGGTCCATGCTTCCCGAGCAGGATTCTGCCCCAATCCTTGGGGACCCAACTTTCCCCTTAAATGTGAGGTTTCATAGTGAACGAAGCATTTCACTCTACTCCCAGCCTTGCAATCACCCCATGACTGGGGCCAAGGCCTTGTCTGGGAACCCCAGCTCAGAGCAAGCAAAGTCATTGCCCCCAGGCCTCCGTTTCCTCCTCTCCAAGGCAACACTCACGGTGTTAAGAGCCCAGACTCTGAAACTAGACACACCTGAGTTCACTTGCTGATTCCACCATCTATGAGCTGTGTGGCCTTGAGCAGGTTTTGTGACCTCTCTGAGCCTCAGTGGCTTCATCAGTAAAACAGGGAAAGTAAAAGTTCCAACTCATCGGATTGCTGGGACAAGCAAATGAGATCAACCCAGAAAGCTCTTAGCACAGCATCTGTACACAGTAAGCCTTCAAGAATAATAATGGCTCTCATTTGTTATTGTCAGAACAAAATATGGTTTACTTATTCCACAAATAATTACCGGACATCCACTAAAGACCAGGCACCGTACAGATGCTGAAGAGAGAGAGGACAAGACTAACTCGGTCCCTTCCCCGGGGCGCTTACCATCTGGCAAGGTGAGTGGACTTGGGTAGACTTGTCACGTCAGCGGCCCCCAGAGAGCCACACCTCGAGGATTCACGCCCCCTGGGTGGGGTCCCTCCTCCCTGAGCCGTCACCAGGAGGGATGCAAGCAGGGGCCGGGGCTCTGCCCTCTGGGGACTCAGCTGCCACTCTGCAGGGGAGCTCAGCGAGGCCCCCGTATAATGAGACACCACAGGGAAAGAGACCCTGAAGGATGAAGGGCCGCCTTGGATGCAGCAGCCCTAGCTGAGCTCCCGGTTGAGTGCCTCCCGCCCCACCAAGGGCAACGAAACCACTGCCCACACTGAACGCAGAGAAATGAGAAACCATTTGCTTGGGATGGTTTTACACAACAGCGATAGGAAGCTGAGCAGACTGGCTAATCCCAGAGGCTCTTTAACTTTCCATGGTTCTAAGAGAAGCCACACCAGGGAAGAAAAATCGGAGGCTCAGAGAGGTCAAGGCAGTGCCAGGGGTCACACAACACGGCAGTAAAAGCTGCAGCCCCCCAGCCCTAGTCATCTGAGGGTATAGGAATGGGGAGAAAGAACAGACGGACAGGGAGGACCGGGAGAGTGGGGGCCTAGGGTCAGGAAGCGCCCCTTTACCCACCGAGAAGGAGCTGAGCTTCACACCCACTGCACGGTGCTTCTTGCCCAAGCCAGCAAGGTACTCCTCCAGTGAGGACAGGTCCTCTACATTGGTCACTGCAGTGTCAATCACGAGCATCACCTGCCAAGGCCAAAGTAGCAGTGAACCCGAGAGGCCAGAGCAATCCCACCTGCTCACAACCACAGTCCAGAACTGGGGGGGGGGGTCCCAGCCAGGAGTAAGAGAGGTCAACCAGGACCCTCAGTTTCCCAGGATCAGAAATGCAAGGCCATGGGGCTCAGATGGTGGAGTGTGCGACTCTTGTTCTCAGGGTTATAAGTTCGAGCCCCACGCTGGGCGTAGAGATTACTTTAAAAAATAAAATAAAATCTAAAATAAAAAGAAAAGAAATGCAAGGCAATCCGTGTCTACATACGGTAGGCACTCAACATGTGGCCAAACTGCTAATGTTATACTGGGAAAGCAGCTCCTCTCCTCTGAGGGTCCCAAAGCCCTAAACATGGCAGCAGGACAGTGCTGTCTGCCCGAGACAAGGAGAAACTGAGGCACTGTGAGAGTCATGAGCCTCTAAGGGAACCCCAGCTTGTTTGTCATAGGCAGATGGCGCCTGGTGGATCAGGGCCAACAGCACCCTCAGGAGCCTGGGACGGTGCTGAGGGCAAGAGTGGAGCAGGGACCAGCTGGCTGAGGCTCTGCCCAGCTCAGCACAGAGGGCAAGGAGCAGACACCTCTGGGGAGGGGGGGTGGGCAGCAGAAGGGGAATGAGAGCAGGCCAGGGCAGAAGTAACTTCCCCTAGCCCCAGCCTCCCATTCTCTGCCAGGAGGGCGTCCTGCTGGATCTCCAGGCCACTTCACCTCTGCCTCACCTTCCTGATGTGGTCCAGGAACTCGGGGGATGACAGGCAGTCCTCTGGGCTGGAGAACTGGCGACAGTTGTACTGGAAGAGCAGCAGCAGGTCGGGCTCCAGGTCAAACAGCCTGCGTCGGGGAGGCCCAGGCGTCAGCCCTGCTGTCCCTGCACGCCCCAGCCAGTCCCGCGAGCCCTGGCGGCCCAGCTGCCGTGCGGTGGGGGTGGGGAGGCAGGGATTCAGCTGGAAGCCAGGACACACCCTCCAGCCTGGCACTGGCCCCTTTCCCGCCGGCTCCGAGGGGCACCCTGAAAAGAGCAATGAGTCCCAAGGCCTCTCATAGGGCCTCGCATAGAGCAGACCCTCCATAAACAGTTCAGAGGGCTGCGACAGGGGTGGGTCCTCAAATAGGAAAGCCCTTCTCTCTCTTTTCTCTTCTCTGTCTCTGTCTCTCTCTCTCCCTTCCACTCTTGGGTCAGAACCTCCTAGTCTCATTATGTCTGTAGGGACCTGGGCCAGTGATGATAACGGTACTACTAAGAACTCCTTACACTTACTGGACATTGAGTACTTTACATGTGATGTGGTTCACTTATGTATCCCTCACAATCCTAAGCAGTAGATATAACTGTTATCCCAGTCTTATTGAGGAGGAAACACAAGCCCAGAGAGTTTAAGTAACCTACCTACGGTCACACAGCTTGGAAGTAGCAGAACCACAGAGGATCACTAAGTCCACAGAGAAAACAGTGGCACAAGCAGAAGCTCCCAGTCCCTCCTGAGAGGGCTCGTTGGGCTTTTGTGCAGCCCGACAAATGTATTCCCCCTTTGTTTGGGGAGGAGGTTTTGCAAAATCCTCCTCAGAAGTTCTGGGCTGGCTTTGGGAGCTGAAGCTCCTGAGAAACCATGGTGACAGAGCACTGCCTCTGGGGATGGCAGAGGGGTTACCTAGAGACCCTCAAGGTAAGCTTGGAGACTGGCCTCCCTTCCCCTTGGGGTCTGCGCACCCCCTCACCCTTCTCCCCAGCGGTGAGACATGGGGGTCTGTCATCCCTTTGCTGGTGGTTGTCTGGTCCTAGCCCGGTCCTTTCCTCGGAAAGGTTTATCCTTCTGTTGGCTTGCTGGTAGTGTGCACCTCCAGGGCCTGGACCGTGCCCTCCCTCCCGGAGCCCCCGAGGGGCACAGCCTCCCCGCACGAGCCCTTGGGGCACCCCCTTCAGGCACCACCCAAGGACTGAACACTCAGGAGCAGAGCCAGGGAGGGGGCGCAGCGCGGGGACCAGCGCCTGCTGGCCAGAGTGCAAGTAGATCCGCCTGGGAGGACCCCCGCCCGCCCCCGGGGAGTCGCCGCAAGACGCGCCCACCGCTGGGGGAAGGGGGGGAAGCGCAGAAGGGGCTGCGCCACCCGTCGCCGCGCCCGCTCCTCTGGCGCACATCTGGAGGCGCCCGGGCGCCAGGGCAGCGGGCCAACCTTCCCTCCCCTGGCGCCAGCCCAGCCGCCGGGAACCCATTGCGGGCGAGGCACCCCGCCACCCGCACCCCCGGGGCGATCGAGGAGCCCTCACCTGGCGAACAGCACGGCGCCGTGCTCCAGCGGGCTGCGGCTCACCGCCCGCCAGCTCTGCCGGATCAGCTCGGGCTCCGGGCGCTCCATGCTCGCCCGGAGACGCGCGGGGCGCGAGGCTGGGACCCTCGGGGCGCGGGCACCGTCACCGCACGTGCCGCGCCATCTCCGCGGCGACGCGGGCCACTCTGCACCCCCTACGCCCCCCCGCCCCCTCCCCGCCCCAGGTGGAGGCGTCCCGCGTGTCCGCCCGGCTGGCGCTTCCGGGGACCCCGCTCCGGCCGCTGCGCCCTGCGCCCCGCCGCTCCGACAGCGCCCCGCCCCGCGCCGCCCGGCCCCGGGCGCTTTAAAGCAACCGCGGCCCCCGCCCCCCTCCGTCCGTCAAGGCGCTCATCCCTGGGCAACCGGCTGTGGCCAGGGACGACCTGGTGGCCGGGGAAACGCCTGGGCTTCAGAGCCTCACAGAAATCATCGAGCCTCTCTGGGCCTCAGTTTTTCATCCCGAAACCAGTGAGGATTTCGCCACTTTGCTGGTTAGGGCACCAATTGAACTCGATCGCCTTAGGTAGGCTCTGCATGTGCCACCTCTCCGCAAGCTTCCCTCACCTGCTACCTGGAGGCATTAGAGTTTGCCACCCCCTTGGCACAGGTTCTCCTTCCTCCTGCCCCGACGTGGGACCAGGGGATGCGAACACCCGCCTGTGGGACCAGGCTGAGGCTGGAGAGGCACTCTGCCCTACTCTGGGTCTGACTGAAGCATCCCCCACTCCCATCCCTGCACATTGGGGGCCACCAGAGGTCTCAGCCTTAGGGACAGGGACAGGACCGCAGCCATTTCCAGCCAGTCCTGGGCGGTTCTTGAGACAGCATCTTAACAATCTGTGAGCTACAGTTCTGGCCCTGGCTCTCCTTGGCCGGGGCCAGGTCTAGGGTGCAGCAGCTGTGACCACTGCAATACCTGGCCATCGAGGGAGTTAAGTTTCAGCATTCTATTCCACGATTTTCAATAGACTTCTAAAATTTTTAAATAGAAGTACTATTTTGTTCTTTAAGTTGAAATTCAGGTAGTAGAGTCGCATTCAGGGTATGAAGTTGACCACCTGTCAGGCCTAAGCCTATTTCTCTCTCTCTCTCACTTTTTTTAAGGGGGTGGGAGAGGGGCAGAGGAAGAGAAGCCGACTCCCCGCTAAGCAAGGAGCCCCACACCCGGCTAGAGCCCAGAACCCTGAGATCATGACCTGAGCCAAAAATCAAGTTGGAGGCTTAACCTACTGAGCCACCCAGGTACCCCAAAGCCTTTCTCTTTCAAGCATGAAAGTTCCTCCGGCCCCAGCTCAGTGCTAGTGCCCCAGGCTTTGGAGAGCCAAACCTTCATTTATCCTTCATTATTTCCAGTCTCTGAGCCTCGCTCCTCTCAGCCTCCCTACTTCTCTCTTTCAGTGTCCTCAGTAAAAGGGTCGGGTAGTGGGGTCTTTAGGGGCCTTTCAGCCCACCTCCTTTGGTTCCATGGATACAAGACGGTATTCGGGCCAGTGGTCATGAACAGGCTGAGGTTCCATGCCCAGGAGTTTGGAGTACACCCTATTCCTTTCTTCCCCATCTCCCCACACATCTCTGGGGTCTCTGGGCTGAGCAGGAGAGTAAGGGTAAGGCAGCCTGCCTTGTGTCCAAAAGAGTCCAAGATCCCCAAGTAAGAGCACGAAGGGCCTGGGGGCAAAAGGGAGAGGAAAGCTTAGGTTACTCGGGGGACTAGACTTCTCACTCGGTATCCATGGCCCTGCAGCCAGGTCAGCAGGGTGAAGGCCACTTGGGTCTCTGGTGACTTTCACCTTTCAGTGCCCAGATGCCCTGTGTAGGCCACCTGGCTTATCTAAGGCTTCCCACCCCACACAGTGTGCACTTCATGGCAAGAGTCTACACTGGGGACCTTCTTGCTTCCTTCTCCTTTGGACAAGGTCTGGGTCTGATACGTTAATGGCAGTTAATGGCTTTAGCTGGTAAGTGGTGGAGTCAGCACTCACTTGGTCTCAAGCCAGGAGGAGGGGGCTGAGTGTGCTGTAATCTCTACTTCCCTGGAAAAAAGGCCTGAGAACCTGGCTGGGCCGATGCAGGGCCAGCAGGGAGGGAGGGTGTTCCAACCAGGAGACAGAAGGTCTGAGTCCGTATTTGAGGGCTGAAGAAGTCACAGGATCTCCCCTCCTTGCCTGGCATCTGCCTAGGACTTGGGCAGCAGGTTCTAGTGGAGGAGAGTTGAGTGCTGTTCTAGAGCCCGTGGTGTCACTGAGGTGGAGCTGTCGACAATAATGGAGCCAGCATCCACTGAGCACTCCTGTCCCGACTCTACAAGGATCTTTACATCATTCACTCTTCATCCTCACAAGACCTCTATCAAGTAGGTACCATTTGTCGTAATCTGGTTACACTGTTGAGGAAACAGAAGCCCAGGGCTTTGGTCACGCACCCCAGATCACATAGTTGTAAGCGGTGGGGCCAGGATTTGCCTTCAAGTCTGACTCCAGCCCATTCTCTAGGCCTCTGTGCTCCACGGCCTCCTTCACTTTGATGGACTGTGACCAAGAGCTATGTCCATAGTTGAGACCAAGCCAAGGTCACTGGGTCTAGGTCAGTGGTGTCCTGGAGCTGGCTCTTCGGTGGCTTCAGAGAGCCAGCTGGGCACATCTTTCCAAATTCTCATGTAGTGACATCAGGACAGTAGCCCGAAATGGGCCATAGTGGGAGTATTTACACCACAGAAATTGGCAAGTGCTATCAGGGCTTGTTTTCCTCCCCGAAGACCACTGGGCTGGGTGCAGCAGCAGATGCCAGCCCCCGGATGAGCTGTGGATGCATTAAGCAGCACGTACAAAAGAACATGCTAAATCTGGACACCTCTGAGCTACGTCCAGGCCTTCTCCCAAGGGATCCAGGGTTGTCAGGTTGTTCTGGGAAGGTGCTTCTAGCCCCAGGACCAAGCTGGAGCGGCAGAAAAGCCCAACTTGGTGCCCAGTCCTGGCCCTGCTGTGGACTAATCACAGGAGTTTAGGCAAATAACTTAATCCCTCATGGGTAGAATGGAGACAAACCAGCACTGACTTCACTGTGCCCTCATGAGGATTAGGTGTTACAGAGGTGTTGGCGCTTGGTAAGCTGTGCCAGTCAAGAAGTGTTTGGTCCTTTTCTAACTTGCCTAGATTCAGCATTTTCCATCCCCTGCAGATCTGCATAAGCCCCTCCCCACCCCCTCCAGCCACTCTGGTCCCAAGGGGGGCAGGCCGCCCCACACTTCACAGAGCAGTGCTACTCCTCTTCCCCCCTGCTTACCGCCGACACACATCAGCTCTCACGTCCAAGGACCGTTAACATCACTCCTGATACCGCAAGACCCCTGCCAGGATGGGGCCTCTGGTGAGCACAATGGAAGCTGCTACAAGACTGGGCCACACAGCTGCCTCAGGGGTGGACAACTGTTACTCTCTCACACTCCTTGCCCTACTGTGTGGCGGGTTACAAGAGAAAAAAGGTCCAGCTTCCTACTTATTTTGGAGTAAGTTAAAATAAATGAAAAGAACAACAAACATTACTCAAGTAACCTTGTAAGTGGGAGGGCCCAAATGCCCCCTGGGGTAACAAGGCTCACGTGCCCAGCCAGGGCCCCTCCTCAAATTAGAATGGCCTCAGACACTGAGACACAGTGGAATGGTTCTTGCACTCAAAACATCCCTGTCTTCTTTCTGGGAACCCGAAGGAAAGTCAGATTCAATTAAGGACAAGAAGAACACCATGGCATTCAAAATAAGAGTTATTTATTACAAAAGTAAATGGCCTCTGATTATCTGTGGAAACTTTTTTTTATATATATAAAATTGTGGCCCAAATAGCTGGCTGGAGGTTGGGCTAACAAACATCTTCTTCCTCCACCAGCAAGTTTGTGGGGCATGTCACATTTCCGCCAATTCCTGGGCACTGGAGCCCACATTCAGAGCCCCACCTTGATCGCCCCTCTCCCCAGTGTCTTCCACTGACTAAACCTGAGCACTGAAAGCTGCATCAACCCATATGGCCTTGTCCTCAGAGAAGTGTCTACCAGTCTGGGCTAAGAGGAAGAGGAGAGAGTGAGCCAACAATTCTTCTCTCATCCTTGGAATGCAGTATGAGACAGAGGAACCCTTTGTCCCCAGTGTGGCCAAATTAGGAGGGAGCCATGGGCGGGAAGCTGGCTGGGCTTTCTCCTTCCTCACCCTCACTCAGAGTGGCTGCCTCTCTGCTCCTTGGGAGTTCCTCCCTTCCAACAAGTCCCTAGTAGGAAATAAGAAGGTGCAAGGGGACATCAGTCACCTCCCAGTTGTTACGGGGCCATGGTTCTTGGCTGAGGGGCAAGCACAGACTCCTCATTCTCCCTCCAGAACCCACCCAGATGGCTACCCCCAACCAGCTTAGAAGAAACCAACTCCACCTCCGGGGAGGACAGACAGTGGTGCAGTAGAAGGGGTGAGCAGAGGTTCTCCATCCCTGCTCATTCCCTTCCAGAAACGCAATTAAGCCCACAGCCCAGACTCAGCACACAGGCAGTACTTCCTGCCAGGGGAAGTCAAAAGGGGTTGCAGCCCTGGGAGAGGGAGGTCATCACACCCCAGATCTAATTAACAAACCTGCCTTGCTTTTGACATTGCTGCATTTCCTCTATTAACATTAATGATGGCTGGTCTGAACGGCTAAGGATGGCCAGAAGCTTCCCTCCCCACTGCCCAGTAGGTAGCACAGCCTGTCCCTGGGCCCAATTTCCAGTCTCCGTGGCAACCGCCTCCCGAAGATGCTCCAAAGAGCTCTGACCCTGTCAGAAGTGGTGGGGGCTACAGAGGAGGGAAGATGAAGTGTGGCAGAGCCTCATCATTAAACCTGGAAGCATCACAGTCCTCTGAGACAAAATACTCTGTCATGCACTGGCAGGAGGGAGGTGGCCTGAAGAGCGGGTCCGGGGTTGGTTCGATTCTGACCCAAGGGTTTTCTTAATCTCTTCCATTTGGGGAGGAAGTGAAAGGAACAGCTCTGAGCTTCTTGCTTGGGCTTTAAAGTGGTAGAGAGTAGAAGCTTTGCTGCATTTCTAAGTGCTCTGGGTCTTTGGGAGAAAGAGATCAGTGGAACAGTGACACAGAGAAAGGGAAATGAAATGCATCCAGGGCAGCAGGGAAGACTAGAGAAGTAAAAGTGGGGAACACCTCATGAGTGACAGGAACATCAACCCAGACGGGCTGGACCAGCCCACTGGGACCCCAGCCCAGCACCACAGATCCCTGCCCTGCTGCCCACCAGCCTTGGCTGCTAAGGGGCCCCAAAGGTTCCCCCAACCATGGGGAGAATGCATCTGCCCCACCTCATAGCCAGGTTGGATGCAGACGGAAAAGGACAGACAGCAAGAAACCACCTCTGGCACGCAGGGCCTGGGAACACAGAGCAGCCAAGGATAGGATGCCATTCCTCCCACCAGTCATCATGTGGTGTTCTCAGAGAGCAAGGAACCAAGGGCTGGTGAGTGCTCGGCTGCCTCACTCCAGAGCCCAGTCCTCTGTGCACACTGCAGGGAGTGCAGCCACCTGCTGCCCCAGAGACTTCCCAGCAGCTGCGCCCCCCCCCCCGCCCCGCCGCCACCACCACACCAGGAAGCAGCTGGGAGGCTCTCCAACTCAGGGGCGCTCAGCTCTATTTGTGGGGAGAAGGCCGGCACAGCTTTGATGGCCCCATCTGCTCAGCCCTTGGTGATATCCCAAAGTGGGGCCAGTGAGCTCAGCCTTCTTGGAGGTCAGAGAATTTTTGATGGCTCTTGCTTTCAAGCCAAATCCAGTGTGAAAGAAATACCAGAAAATACTACTATAGCCCTGGACTATTTCTTACGGTTTATGAGACTCAGCTGTCCACAGTCACGGTCTATATTCAACAGGTGTATGGACAAATGAACCCTCCCACTCCCACACACTCACGCACACTCTCTCACACACTCATCCTTCCTTATGTTGCACACTTGGGGAAACGGGCCTGAGAGATGTCCTCTTGCTGAGCCATTCCCAGAGGTGGGATCTCTGCAGAGAGCGCTGCAGCTCTCCCTAGTGTTGGGCTAAATTCCAGGTATGCTCCCAGAGCTTGGTCCTGGCAGGCAGCAGAATTCCTTGGGCTCCTCAGGCAGCTTTGCCCACAGCTGGGAGGGTCCAGGGACTGGCTGCACAGCTGGCTGTCCCCAGAAAGTTCCTGGATTCAGGCTGGAGTAGCAGTAGCCTCAAAAGTCCCATGATTCAAGCCACCTTAGTCCTGCCATGGGACTTCGTGGGTCCTGGGCTAGGGGACCGACCATCCCATAAGCCAGAGGGTGGAAGAGGTAGAAGCTATGAGAGAGAATCCAGAGGGAGGTGGTCAGCACCCAGCGCCTTGGCAGGGGCAAGGAGCCCCATGGATCTTTGAAGTTTAGCAGCCCCTACTGGAGCTTATCAGCTCTTCTCCACCTACAAGACCCACTCCTCGTCACAATGTCTGCGTTCACCATGTGGGCACACTGTAGTCTGAGAGCTTAGCAGATGCCGGTTTAATGAGAAAGAAGGAAAGGGCTCCTCCCAGGAGGCCCGGGAGAGAGACCAGTCCTGGGGTCTGGCCGTGGCTGTTTGGCTCATAGTATTTGTTAAAATGTGCCTGTGCCCTCAGATCACAGGCCCACCATTTCCTGTTCACACTTTAGTGCTGCCTCCCTGGCCCCTAAAGGCCAGTGACTCTCAATAGGGGATCTGTGAGACTGGCAAGGGGCGGGGGGTTGGTGAGGCTTGCCAAACACCACCCTCCTTCCAGTTATTCTGAGCCACACCCCACACCCTCTCCCTCACCCCACCCCCCTCCAGGGCGGTCCGGTGAGGGGGCCAAGGTGACTAAAGAGAGGCAGCCGGTGTGCTGGGGTGATACAAAAGCTGGGACCTAGTGGCAAAAAAAAAAAAAGAATGCACAGTTAGCCCCAGGTTTCTCCTATCTGGCTCCACATTGGGGTCACCTCGGGAGCTCGGAAAACTGGCTCAATTGAATCGGAGCCTCCGGGACGGGGGCCCAGGCATGCTTTAAAAGCACCCCAGGGGATTCTAAGATGCATCAAAGGCAGAGGCAGGGACCAGCAATGCAAGGGGTAGGGGCTACTCACCTGTAGGCAGTTCCCAGGAGCAGGCTCAGGAGTCCCACCGCATATATGCCCCTGGCCAGGGAAGAGGAGGCCAGACTCCAGGCACAGAGCCGCAGGAGAGTATCCCACAGAATCCCTAGGAGAAAGAAGACAGACAGACCTAGTCTGTCAGAGGATGACTTTCCGGGATGCAGCAGAGAGGAGCTACCCAGGTCAGGAAGCAGTGAGATTCCCCCTCGGTGCTAATCCCCCGCCCTTCTCACCCAAGTCCAGGTAGGCGGTGCTGACCTGTCAACATGCTGGAGAAGAGCATGGCTGGGAAGTAGTGGTGGAAGTAGAGGATCCGGCCCATCAGGAAGAATGGGAAGTAATGGAGCATCCAGCCAAGCAGGAGCTGACCGCCTCCTTGCAGCAGGACCTGGGACAGCCCTGGGCCCCAAACAGCACAGCTTGGTCAGCAGCCAGGGAGGGGGCAGAGACCCCTGGCTCTCGTCCAGCTCTGCCACTTCCTTGCTGGGTGACTAGACTAAGCCACGTGCCCTTACTGGGCCTGCCTCCCTCATCTGGAGGCCACTAAGCAAGGGGCTAAGCAGGCCTCCGGCAGCTGGACGAGATGAGCAGCTGGCCCTCGAGAGCCTTGCTCACCGCCTGTTTGGAGAGGCCTCAGCACCCACGCAGCAGGAGGCAGCCCAGCCTCTAAAGAAACCAAGATGCGGCACGCCCCCAGACAGCTGCCCCCACCCCACGGCCATCTCCCATATCTTTGCTGCCGCCCAGATCTTTGCAGTGGCAGACAGGGCAGAGGTGAAGTCAGAGAGGAGGATGGAGGGGAGAGAGGGGGTCTAGGGCCATGGCTGTTCACAAGGGAGCTGCACAGGGGAAAAAAGAGCCTGCAGGACCATCTCAGGGGCTGTGGTCCCTACCCCGCTAGAGGACGGGGCCATGGAACAGAGAGCGACAGAGAAGAAAAGGTGGGCAGTTCTATACAGAGCATAGAGGTTCAAGTGAGGGCTCTAAGGTCAGACCACTTGGGTCTGAAACTCAGCTCTACACTTACTAGTATATTTCCTGGGATAAGTCTCTTCTCTTTGTGCCTTTGCTTCCTAAGCCATAAAATGGGGCTAAGAACGTTCTACTCTACAGGGCTGCTGGGAGCATGGAGTGTTTAACACAGTACTGGGCATTTGGTGACTGAGCTTTAAAAAGCAAAGGAGAAGGGAAAGAGTGGGGTGAAGGCAGAATGGCCCATCAGCAGTGCAGGCTCCGGCCAGCTGCTAGGTCAGGGGAGGAAGAGCCCAAGGGACCGACCTTCAACCTCTGCAGGCAGGCATGCCCCTCTCTGCATGGCTACAGCAATGATGCTCCCCAAGAGGAGGTAGAGGGCAATGCTCAACAGATTCAGCCACCAAACCACCTGCATGGGAAGGAGAATGGGCGGGTTAGAGGAGAGCCACAGGCCCCCAAGGATCCAGGCTGAGGGCCCACACAGGGAATGTGCTAGGCACTCACCGGGTTGCCAAGCAGATACACGCGGAAGTCTGTGTCATTGATCCCTGAGAAGCGCAGGCCCTGCGGGGCAGAGGACACCCTGCTGATCCAGGGCCCAGTGCATCCCAGCCACATGTGCTCCGGCAGGGAGGAAGACCAGTTACCTTCCACAGACAGGGAGCCTGGGCAGGAGGCCGATTCTACATGAGCTCTCTGGGAAGGCCGGGTCAGAATCAGGGCAGAAAACAGAGCCCTGTCTCTGGCCACCTCATGTCAGGTAAGGCCTTGCCCAGTCACCCCACCCCACCCTCACCAAGTCTCAGTGGTCTCTTCTTTGGCTCCATTTCCTGGGAGCAGTTCTAGCCTTGAGCCCTACCTGATAGTTGATAGGCCAGTGCCAGGGTTTGGATGTGAACTCATTGTCCTTGGGTTTGAGTCCATTGTTCCCCTGCAGGAAGATGGCAAAAAAGAAGCTAGTCAAGGCAGAGATCTAGAGAGCTGACAGAAATGTGAGGAATGGGCATCTCTGACAGACAGCCAACTGTCAAGAGAAACCTCCCCCGTCTCCCTCCGTTGCGGGGAAGAATCTGGTGCTTGTTCTCAGTCACTGTCCACCTGCTTATGACTGCCTTACTTCTACCAACACACAAGCTTCCATTGCCACCAGAGACAGTCCATTCAGACCCACTATGCTTGAGAGAAAAAAGGACTTGTTTCCTGTGAGGACAAAACATCCATCCATCTTCCAGACCAAGTAGGAGGTGTCAAGAGGGCTAGTGGGAGATACAAAATCAGGCTGGCTATACTTGTTCCCTCTGGAGGCCAATTTCAAACACAAAACCAAAACCAAATACTCTGATGAGTTCCTGAACTTGGAAAAAGTGACTGTAGTCTAGTGTTTCTCAACTTTTTTTTTTTTCATTCTTGCCCCTCCTGGGACTTTTTAGACATTTTTTTCCTAAATGCCTCCCATCACATTTTAATACCACAGCTGTACCGTAAATGTGTTTACATACTGGTTGACTACCTACGTTAAAAAGCTAAGGGTTTTTTGCCCTCCAAGAATACATTTTATCCACTGGGCGTGATATTAACCCTGTTCAGAGTGCACACTTTAGCCTGAAGGACCCAGACTCAGCCCCTTTAATCCAGCAGCCAAGACTGTCCAACACCCTGTCTCTACACGCCAAAATCAGGGCTTTTCAAAAACAAAGAAAAGATCAGGACCCCGGATACTAAGCACCAGGACTGATGTCAGCCTCATTATCAGAACAAATTGAGAAGGCACTTCCCGAGAAGAGGAGTGAGGTGTTATGAGTTAGGTCAGGATCTCTCCACTGAAGGGCCTCCGAATGAAAAATGAATCATCCTGGGCCCCAGAGGAGCTGCTAAGAGAAATTGATTCCTCCAAACCACTGCAGTTCAGTCCCAGACTCGGGGACTCCAGCCAGAGCTATAACCAACCAGGGACATCCTATTCACTTTGTTAATCTCAGAAATACAGCTCCTTTACTAATCCAAGAAATGGAAGGAAGAAAAAGTCTGTAACCATTAGAGGCCTATGCATTTATACATTGTTCTCTATGCTTAAAATCTAGAGTGGGCTCATTCCCTCTGACCTCAGCAGGCAAGGCAGCCTTCTCTGTACAGGACTCAGACCCTCCACTCAGTGGGCAGAAAAGCCCTCTCCCATGCAGTTTCTGTCATCTGGACCATTTTGACCACTCTTCCCACCCTGACTCTATTTCGACTGAATAAGAACGTTCCCTGATGCCCTTTTATTCTCTGGCTCTACCTCTTAGATAATGAAAGAAGAAATGAGACTATTTAGACTTAGTCTTAAAATTCTACCCAGACATAGAATGATATTTTGACTGACAGGCACGTATTCAAAAGAGCTATGTCATCAGGCCACAGTGACAGCTACAAGCAGGGAGTCGGAGAAGAAGTGACCCGGAGATCACTTAATGTCAAGTCATCAACGCCCAATGTGCAGAAATGACAAAATTTGAATTTTTTGATCTAATCTGGTGAAATAAGTCAACTATATTTACCGAGTACTGCTTACATAATCACTTCCAGGAAAGTCCACTTGACAACGGCTCAGCAGGGGACAAATAACAGGCACTACACCTCTCTGCACCCCTGTGGGTGGAGTGATCATCACATACCTGGCTGAAGATACAGTGATTCCTAAACACCTTTCCTGCAGGACACTGGCTTTCCATAAACCAGAGGAAAGGCGTCCCCCCTACACATCAACACTGCAGCAGGCTTTCTCTACAGCACAGGGGAGAAGTTAAGCTAGTGGGTAGAACTTTCTCAATTTAAAGATCTCCTCTCTCAATTGTTCTTACACCACTGAGGTTAGAACTGCTGTCAGATACTAATGATGGGGAATACCAACAATGAGTCTTACAAAACCTGCAAAAGACTCAACCACGCCCCTAAACAGTTCCCGTGTCTGGGAACATGCATGGGCTCATGGTGGAAATTTTATGCTGCAGATAAACAACATGCTCAGATCAGCTATTCATCCTAATTCATTCTAATTTCATATGATGGAATGAGCAATTACTGTCTCAAGGTCTTCAACCAAGAACACTGTAATTTTCAGGGGCTCTGCCATTTGAACGGATTTGAGAATCACTTAGAAGCAGAAGAGTGTGGCGGTAGCCAGCACTGACTCTGAGAGCCTGCCAGCCCGGCTTTGAAGCCTGGAGCCACCTCTTCCATTTCGTTCTGTGACCCTGGGCAAGTTCTTTAACCTCTCTGTGCCTCGATTCCCTCATCTGTAAAGTGGGGACAATAATCCCCGCAGGACTGTGATAACTACAGAATAAGTTAGTGCAGCACCATGCACAGAGTGGCGCCTGGCACGTAAGAGCTACGTAAGTGTGCACTGGGGTCCGTTGTCCTCACCATCATCATCATCATCACCGTCATCATTCTGCAATAAGGGAAATGCCTTCGAATACCAAGTAAACCAGAAGCGAAGACCCTTTCAACATTCTCCACCAGGGGACAGTGGATCTATACCATAGCTACTGATCTGTGATGCAAGTTTGTGGATGGCCAAGAGCTCACAGAGGAACCTTCCAATGAGAGGGGGCCACAGTACCCGGATCATCACCATGTGGGACTCCAGCAAGATCTCAGGAAAAGTGGGCTGCAGCACGTCCAGGCTGATGTTTGGCACTAGACAAAGAAAGGACAGAGAAGAAAACCTTGGTCACATGCACATTCTCACAGCCGTCCATGGTACCAACACCGCGCCTGGAATCTGAGTGTAGCTTTCCTGACGCGCTGGCTAACGAGTAGGTTAGAGTGTTGAGGAGACAGAAGAAAGCTTGGCCCAATTCTTGATCACCCCTTCAGGTTGTGCAAAGCCCTCATGAGGCGTTTGGAGAAATACAAAGGCAACAGGCGACGGGGCCTGTCCCCAGTGTTGCCACCGCTCTCGGCACCATCACCCTTCGTTATGGTACAGGCTCGAATGCTAGGCCGGTCTGTGAGGACAGGGACCAAGTCCACCTCATTCACCCCAGGGGCCCCCAGGCTTCCCACTGTACTCACTAAAGAGTTGTTTAATTAGTTAATTAATTAGCTGGTTGGCTAAATTAGGTAGTAAGAAGAATGAAATGGGAAACACAGAGAGGGGAAATGAAGCAGAAGCTTAAAAGGGGTGGTTGAGGAGGACAAATGATGGATCCAAAGACGACTGAGTTGAAGACGACACTGATGTAGAAACATCAAATTGGAGCCTGGGAGTACAGATATGGGGGCTCAGATCCAGGGCTGTGGCCACCGCTTTCTATCAAAGTATTGGCTGGCTGTGGGGAGGGGCAGAGCTCTACACAGGGGCATAAAGGGAAAGCACCAGCCTGCTCTAAGCCTTGAGGGTGGGAGGTACACATGGTGCAGGAGACAGAAAAGCCCAGAAGGAGACCAGACAGGTGGACCCACATTACAGGCAGCAAGGAGAAGCGTTAGCTCCAGCAAGAAGCAAAGAAAATGGGACGAGGAAACTAGCTCTGGCCCACTGCAAGGTCACTGGTCACTTTAGGGAGAGTTTAAGGAGGATGGGAAGTTGACATGGTTGGGAAGAAAAAGGAGCTACCTGTCGAGACAACTCGTATAAAGAGACTAGGTTCAAAAAAGGCAGGAAATGACCACAAGGAGATACAGTGGCAGCAGAATCTATGAAGATTGGTTCTTCTAAGATAAGAGTTACTTATAAATGTTTCCAGGAAGTAATCTCACTCACATTTGGGATTGATATGGTCCTCCACATTCCAGATAGAGTTGAGGGTTTCCTTTAGGTATGGGGTGCAAGTAACTTCCAACTGTTCCCAGCCCCTGTGAAAAGCAGTCACAGAGGTCTCTCAGAAGACGTGAAACTCACCAGAGAGCTGCGCTGTTGAATCTTTAAATCTATAGAACCCTGCTCTTTTCAACCCAGTGGCCATGCTTTTTTCAACCTCACTCTTTCATATCCCATGACTATCCTAGGAGGAGTCCAGCATAGAGTATTCCACTTCAGAAAGGCCCAGAGCATTTACAAGGTCCAAAACAGATGAACAACGATTCTGTTCAACTCTCAGAACACAAAAAATACCAAAAGAACTCTGGAGTTCTGTGCTCTGTAACACACGTGATGCCTTTTCTCCTTCCATCTACCACCAAAATAAGAAAACACGAGGTGAACATTGACAACTGGGAAACAGAAACTTCTGGTATCCTCCTTGCAGTGTGAAAGGAGAAGCATGAGCCTCAATTGGGATATCAAAACCCCAGAGACTCACCACTTGGGCAAGACCTTTCCCGAGGAGCCCAGGACACAGCCTGTGACCAGATGGATGAGGCGAATGCGACTTCTTAGCACTTTGATCCGGTTTCCAAATTTTCTGTTTACAACCTCAATCCGCCAGAAATCATTTGAGTCTCCTGTCCCATTCTGCCATGTAAATCAAGGAAAAAATACAAAGAAAGTAAGATGACTTTAGAGAAGACGTGTCAGGAAAGGGAGATGGCCACCCTTCCGATGCCACCATGTTACAAAGGTCAAAGACAAAACAGGCCTCAGTGGATGAGGTGGGAAGGGGAACGAGGGGGCCAGAGAAATACCCCAAGTGACGGACATTCCCCCAGCGCTCGCTACCACAACTAAGAAAAAGTGGGGTAACTCCCGCAGCCTGCAGTCCAAGTCTTCACTTCACAGAACTAGAGTTTAAATTCTAAACATATGTCTTTGCTCTTAAACCAAACTCAAGACATCAACCTGAACCAACAGAGATAGATTTGGGCCATTTGTACCCATTACTTGGCCATCTGGACACTCACTCATCTAAGCCAGAAAGATCTGGCCTGCAGATTATATTTTGGAAATTAAAATACTTGTGTCTAATTCTCCTCAGGAGATGCACACAAGAAAAAGACAAGCAATGGCTCTAGTACTGTGGGGTGAGCAAACAGAAGGAGGGTTGGGAAGTCCACCTTAAGGAACCCAAGATCTGTACTGATGCACCAAAGCCCCTGCAAGGGAACATAAGATAGTCCTAAGTCTAGCCGCCCTCTGTAGTTGTTTTGTTTCCAAATCACTCCCCAAGCCATAAGTACCCATAGAGCTACTGCTTCTATTAACTGCATCACCCACACTACTAAAAAATCCATAAGCAATGTGGTTAACATCCCCCTGCAGAACAGGGAAGTAATCCTTAAAAACAAAGCCAATGAGGATTTGGGATCTGGCAAAGAATAAACGTATATATTCACCTAGGATCATATTGTGGGTCCATGGCTTCTATGTCCAATGTGATTTAAAAAGGGACCCAAATAGTATTCATATGTGACATTTATTGTCAGAACATAAAAATGGCACGGTTATTATGGGAGAAGAGAGAATGGAGACAAACAGACTCACAGGTTGCTTTTCCCACAGCAAGCCTAGCCAAAAAGCTCCCAGTGTTAACAGAGTCCCTGTGTAGCCCGTCATCCTTAGGAACATTACAGAATTCCAGGGAAGATGTGTTCTGTCACATGGCCCTGAACCAGGCCCCACAATTTTTTACAGCCTGCTCACACTCCAGTTGCTCACTTACTATGCCATAGCCAGTGACCTGATAGTGCTTCCGGGTCAGGGGGGCCTCATGATAGTGACTGTGCAGGTTCCGAGAAGTCCTAGAAGTTAAGCGAGAGAAACGCCATTATCCTGGAGAAAAGAGACATGAAACGTCTCCTCTTTTACTAAGGATATTCAGAGTCATCTGTTAGTGCAAAAAAAAATTAGAATCTGAACTATGAAATCCAACATATCAGGAACGTCTTGCCTATTTACTCACAAGAAACATCCAGAGAATCAGAGAATTGTCCAAACCAGCAGGGACAGATGGTAGGAGTCCGGGACTCCATGCCAAGAAAGGGGTTAACTTCAGCAGTGGGGGGATGACTTACCACATTTGGTGGCTTTGAAGCACTTAGCTTGCCTGACTCATGAGGCAGCTTTGGGGAGAAGAAATTAAAATTTGTAATCTACGCACGCCTGAGCCAGTAAGCTTCCTCCCTCCCATTTACTCTTCCTGCCCTCATCACCAGTTTTATAATGTGGGAATCTGTGGGGGAAGGGAGGGATTAATTTGGCTTTTATTTACTTTGTGCCTTTTATAATAATTCTTATTTTTATCCACAATAAGAAATAAGTGTTCTTTTTTTTTTTAAGATTTTTTTATTCATTTATTTGAGAGAGAGAGAATGAGAGATAAAGAGCACAAGAGGGAAGAAGGTCAGAGGGAGAAGCAGACTCCCTGCCAAGCAGGGAGCCCGATGCGGGACTCGATCCCGGGACTCCAGGATCATGACCTGAGCCGAAGGCAGTCGCTTAACCAACTGAGCCACCCAGGCGCCCAGAAATAAGTGTTCTTTATAAAAATTCTAGAAATTTCCAAAAATAAAACTTAACAATAAATAATAAATAACTTTTAATTTGTCAATAAAACAAAATGAAATTTATTAAATAAGTAGTAAATAATAAAAATTAAAAAGTATCCATGATTATACTAGGAAAAAAACACTGCTTATAGCTTTTCTATCTCTCTCTCTCTCTCTCTCTATATATATATATATATAATCCCTGATTTTTAAAAAACTCCATACCTGATGATTCCACTATACAAAATCTTTGCAGAGCTGCTTCTGCTATCATTCCTGTTCACTCTTGCACATGGTGCCCTACTTCCTTGTGTGCTTAGTTATTTTTTACTATGTACTATTCACTCTCACTGAAAAACTATTTATGGGAATGGATGGCAATCTCTTTCCCAAAAAAGGATTTACATCTGCTTTTAGCCAGGCACTTAGGAAATATTACCAGTCTAGGATTATGTTCATTTAAATTCATGGCCTAAAGATTTTGAGACCATCCAGATGAAATTAATTTGGGTCACAAATCCATGTGAGGATCAATTGGTAGTTACAACTTTTCAGGAACCAGAAATAGCCCCCTCCTCATCCCCACTCCCCCTTCTCAAGCCCTTTGGGGTTTCAAGTTTGGGGGAAGGATCACTTAATAAATTTACCACTTTGGATGAGCCTAGAGCTTTGAATTTACAACTCTTTCTCTCAAGGGGCAGTCAAAACCAAAGACTGAAACTCAAGATTGTGGGATCAAGGCAGAAGTGGCTGCAGCATCCCACTTATTTCTCTGGATTCCCCCCTCCGCCGCCCCATTTTACTTAGATTTTTGGCCTGGTAACTCACTACTGCCTTGTCAGCTCTTTGATGCCTTAAGATGTTTTCATATTATTCCAGCATTTGTAGTCATTTTCAGTGAGAACATTGCTTAAATAAACCAGCTTGCCATAATCTCAGAAAGAGACTTCTATTTCTTCCTAAAGGCAGCCACTTGAGAAGAAGTGTTGGGTAACTCAAAGATTTTTTTTCCTCTGGAAAAAAGGGAAATTGAACAGTACCTTCAAAGTCCAAAGCTCCCCAAAGCCAAAACAGGCAAACAAAAGTGGCTTGCTTATTTCACAAGACTTCATAAAATGGCTTTCCCATTCTAGCACAGCAGTCTTGCTCCATTTACTAGAGCCGCATCCAAATCTGAGTTCTGTTTATTTCCAGTTTAGAAGAACTCCTTACCTTTGGTGCCCACACCACTCACTTATCCCAGACAGCAAATTTACTTACTCTTTGTGTTCTAGCCGAATGATGTCTCCATGTCTTACAAACTCTACTGGGAATGAAGGGTCCAGGGGATCTGCCAAGAAGAAACAAGCATTGATATCTGAAATCATTCACTCATTAGGCTGGTATGAATTGAGGGCCTACAGGTAAAGAGTTACAGTATAATACGGTAGGTGCTAGAGGTACAGAGTGCTGGGAGGACAAAGAGAAAGGGCCCCTCACTGTCTCAAGGAAGGGTATCTCAGAGATATGCTTGAAAAGACCCTTTAAGGAGGGGAGAATTTTGTCAGGTCAACAAGTGGGGCCAGATGTATGAAAGAACAAAACGCATTTGACCGATAGCAAATGGTTTCATATGAGAGGGTAGGGTGTGGTGGGGAGGGGAACGGGAAAGACTGTGGGAATAGATGAGGGTATGAACAAGTAGGGCCACACGGTGCATGCCAGGCTAGGAAATGTGGTCTATCTGACAGGCCCCGAAGCCTCCACAGAAGGATTTTTAAGCTGGGAAGTCAAATAATAAGATTTTCCTTTCAGTAGTAAAAACATAGTCTTCCAAAAACTAATTCCATGTAAATGACCATATGCACTCTCCTCAGAGTCCAGCGTTAAACCCTGCAAGTTTTGTCAGTCATTATCTTGTCTCTGGCAACAAACTTGCTAAGTGTGAGGCGAAGAAAATGATGAAGTGACAAAAAAAAGGGACCACATCGTCTAGAAACCAAGTCAGATCAGATCTAGCAAGACAATGACAATGGAAAAGGAGCTGGCAGTAATCACCAACACAAAAAGATCCTTGCAAATTTCTTCCCAGTGAGACACTAACACTCAAGGTCAGGAAAGAGAAATGTGCCAGAACAAATCACTAGTTTTTAAGAGAATTAGAGAACTCAAGTGTAGACATGCCCATTCCTATGTGGACCTTAAGGTCTCCGAAAAAGATTAATCAGCAAAGGTGACAAATCAAGTAAGTCGATGGGAGGGAAGTTTCATTTTACATGGATGTGACGGGGAGGGGCGTTTTTAGCCATCAAGAACACAAAGACCTAAATAAATAAAATCACAAATGAGAGAAGAGAAGTAACAACCAACACCACAGAAATACAATCAATCATAAGAGAATATTATGAAAAACTATATGCCAACAAATTGGACAACCTAGAAGAAATGAATAAATTCCTAGAAACATACAAACAAAGACCTTGGTCTGTATGGCTCCCACTTCCCAAAGTGTTTATAGCTCTCCGCCTTCACACAGAGCCTTAGTTCCTTGGGTGAAATGCAACCACCTTAAGCTAGAAGCCACATCGAATAACAGATCAGAGATGTTCAAAGATTTGGTCCATGCCCACATAGCCTGAGAAGTAAAGCAGTGTTAGGACGCCTGGGTGGCTCAGTCGGTTAAGCGTCTGCCTTCGGCTCAGGTCATGATCCCAGGGTCCTGGGATCCAGTCCTGCATCGGGCTCCCTGCTCAGCAGGGAGACTGCTTCTCCCTCTGCCTGCTCTGCCTGCTGCTCCCCCTGCTTGTGCTCTCTCTCTGACAAATAAATAAAATCATTAAAAAAAATTTTTTTTTAATTAAAAAGAAAAGGAAGTAAAGCAGTCTTGCCTCGTAACTCCTCATTGTGATAGGTCACTTATGTTTGTCCTATTGGATGAAAACAATCAATACCGGTATTATAAAGGTGTTGAAACAGACTCTGACAAACGGAGTCCTAACGTATATTACTGAGGCAAAGACAGTCATTGTGTACACCACATTTCTAGTCTCAAGACCGCAACGATAAGAGGTGGGGAAAGGAACAAAGAAGGTGAATTTAGGTGAACAGCCACCCACTGCCACACAAAAGCTCAGGAGCAGCTGACTCAAGAAATGCGGAGAGCCAGGTGGGGTTTACTGAGGAGTCATAGAGAATGCCTGTGACATAGGGCAATCAGCAGGGGCTCAGAGGTGAGCAGAAGATACCCTCTGTTCTCTTCTCAGCTAGAACAGAAGGCACAGCCTGCAGGTAGCCAGCTCCCTGACCAAAGAAAGATCTGGATATAGCCCATGTCATAAAGCCCCGAGAGCCCATCAAGTGTGCTTCAGAGCAGCTTTGCCCAGGCCAGTCAGGGGGGCTGGCCAGCAGCTACTGAGTGAGGGCCCAAGCACCAGGCTAGACAAGCCCAGCTACAGGCTCTGAGATCTACAACTGACTTGTCTAGTCCAGGGATGACCAGTGGGCAGCAATACTCTATCATAGCAAGACAACTTGAGCTGCACCATATGCTGGGGTCTGAAAGGCTTAGTGTGCTCTCATTAGAAATGAGAGTAGTCACCGTGTGCCCCCAGTTGGGGCTACTCAACCAGCCCCTGGCAGCGTGTCCAGGTAACCAGTCTGAATTAAGTCTGAGCCCTGGCCGGGCCCTCTGGCTTCAACATGATAGCTATTAAGAGTGAGATCTTATCTGTCTTGCTCACTGCTTACCTCCTATGTTGACAACAGTACTTGGAACATAGTAGGTGCTCAATAAATAGCTGTCGAAAGAATAACTGAGACCAGTAAAGGTATTGCCAAACCATGCTCAGGAATCCCCATCTCTGTACCATTTGAAGGCATGAGAAATGTTAAAAATGGCTCAGAGTAAGCAATAATGCAAGAAACATCAGTTCCCTACCACATTACCTGCGTTTGTGTTATGTTTCTTGATAATCCACAGGTTGTTGTAGTCCTTGTGCAGATAGGTGGTGACCTGGGTCGGGGAGGAGTTGGAAGGGAGAATACAATCAATATCAGCACAGCCACAGGACAATCAATAGCAAACCAACATTGCTTAAGCCTCTTTCAGAATCCTCAGCCACCAACCCGAGGGGCCATGCTGCTTAGGGGGGTACAGAAGTAGCACTGGTGAGATTCTCTCCTGCCATCTGCATTTAGAGGTTTCTCCCACAAGAGCCTTTTTGATTGGTCTCGTTATATCTTTCTGCATCTTTTTTTTAAAAAGATTTTATTTATTTATTTGACAGAGAGAGACACAGCGAAAGAGGGAACACAAGCAGGAAGAGTGGGAGAGGGAGAAGCAGGCTTCCCGCCCAGGAGGGAGCCCAATGCGGGGCTCGATCCCAGGACCCTGGGATCATGACCTTAGCTGAAGGCAGATGCTTTACGAATGAGCCACCCAGGCGTCTCTCTTTCTGCATCTTATCTTTAAAGTTTTAGCCTCTTAGAGAAGGAACCATGATACCTTGTGTTAACATAGTCTCCAGCACACAAAGAGGATTTAGTGCATTTTTTAAAATTTTTATTTATTGGGGCGGCTGGGTGGCTTAGTCATTTAAGCAGCTGCCTTCGGCTCAGGTCGTGATCCCAGGGTCCTGGGATCGAGCCCCACACTGGGCTCCCTGCTCAGCGGGAAGCCTGCTTCTCCCTCTCCCACTCCCCCTGCTTGTGTTCCCTCTCACTCTCTCTCTCTCTCTGTCAAATGAATAAATAAAATCTTTAAAAAAATTTTTTAATTAATTAATTAAGAGAGAGACAGAGAGTGCAAGCTGGGGGAGGGGCACAGGGAGAAGGAGAGAGAGGATGAATCCCAAGTAGGCTTTATGCCCAGTTGTAGAGCCTGATGTGGGGCTTGATCTCAGAACCCTGAGATCATGACCTGAGCCAAAATCAAGAATCAGACTCTTAACCAACTGAGCCACACTGGCGTCCCGATTTAGTGCATTTTACAAAGTAATTAAGACCATGCCTCAAATTTTCTAAATGAAAAATTCATGCCTTATTCTCTAGAATGTGGCCAAATGAAATTAAATAGCTCCATAAATATCTCATCCTAGAAGCTTGAGGTTTTAGCCCATAGCCATTTCATAGACACTGATTTTTATTTATTTTTTATTTTTTTATTGTTATGTTAATCACCATATATTACATCATTAGTTTTTGGTGCAGTGTTCCATGATTCATTGTTTGTTCATAACACCCAGTGCTCCATGCAGAACATGCCCTCCTCAATACCCATCACCAGGATAACCCATCCCCCTCCCCCCCTCCCCTCTAGAACCCTCAGTTTGTTTTTCAGAGTCCATCATCTCTCATGGTTCGTCTCCCCCTCTGACATACTCCCCTTTTCTTCCTCTCCTGTTATCTTCTTCTTTTTCTTTTTTCTTAAAATATGTTGCGTTATTTGTTTCAGAAGTACAGATCTGTGATTCAACAGTCTTGCACAATTCACAGCGCTCACCGTAGCACATACCCTCCCCAATGTCTATCACCCAGCCATCCCATCCCTCCCACCCCCAACCACTCCAGTAACACTCAGTTTGTTTCCTGAGATTCAGAGTTCCTCCTATCAGTGAGGTCATGTGATACATGTCTTTCTCTGATTGACTTATTTCACTCAGCATAACATCCTCCAGTTCCATCCACGTCATTGCAAATGGCAAGATCTCATTCCTTTTGATGGCTGCATAATATTCCATTGTGTATATATACCACCTCTTCTTTATCCATTCATCTGCCGATGGACATCTTGGCTCTTTCCACAGTTTGGCTATTGTGGACATTGCTGCTATAAACATTGGGGTACACGTACCCCTTCGGGTCCCTACATTTGTATCTTTGGGGTAAATACCCAGTAGTGCAATTGCTGGATCGAACGGTAGCTCTAATTTCAACTGTTTGAGGAACCTCCATACTGTTTTCCAGAGTGGTTGCACCAGCTTGCATTCCCACCAACAGTGTAGAAGGGTTCCCCTTTCTCCACATCCCCGCCAACATCTGTTGTTCCCTGACTTGTTAATTTTAGCCATTCTGACGGGTGTGAGGTGGTATCTCATGGAGGTTTTGATTTGGATTTCCCTGATGCCGAGCGATGTTGAGCACTTTTTCATGTGCCTGTTGGCCATTTGGATGTCTTCTTTGGA